CGCATTATTTCTGACTAAATCCTCGTCACGCGGTAACACTTCGTGTGGTAGTTATAGCAAGACTGGGTAGTGTGCCGGACACGAAGCACTTCTTGTTGAGACGTTCATCAGCCTTAATCTCGTTTCCGTCCCTTCCTGTTGTATGTCGCGGTCGACACGAGTGTGGGTAGGCGATGGATCTATATCTCATGAGTTTATTTGCTAGGTTGTTTATTTTGCAGCTGTAACTCTTCATACAACCGGCTCTCGACATATAATGAGCTAGCCGGGCCTCCAGCGATTTCATCGCCGTATGTGGTGTCGTCAACTTCTCTTGCTGACCTCAATAAAAATATAGCAGTTTCGTCTGGAAGCTTAGCCATCGCGTTGAACAATTCTAGTCGATTACCGGCTGGTATCATGAAATCTGTACTGATATTTATATCCATCCCCACATGATGTGGCATAATCTACACAATAAATTCATTCAGTTCTTGCCATCCTAGAGTGATCTTTAGTGTGGTTCGCGAAGTGGTGACGAGTTTCGACTTGCCGATTTCTTAGACATCAATTCATTTTTCGTTGATCGTGAGTCATCGTAATCGCGTAGTCCCAGTATATGGGTCGCTAATGGCCGAAATGCAGGCGCCTGTATCCAACTGTATTTTGCCTCGTTCGTCATTGATGGCGCCCATGCCTAACGCTCGCATTCGTACTCATTAATCAAAATTCCTCGACGACCACCATTCGTTCTCCTGATAGTAGATTCAATTCTGTCGTCTCCTTCATCTTAGGACCCGGTCGTCTATTTGTGTCTATCCTTGCAATCAATCGGCCTTCACCATAATCCCAATCATCCCATTTTATCTTTAGTATTTTCTCATCCAACGCGTCGAGTCGTTGCGTGCTCCCAACGAAGATAAACACATCGATCACTTCAACTGCTGGTTCAACTGACTGTGGAAGACCTTAATTATCCTACCAGTAAGAGTCTGCAAGCCTGCTTGCTTAATTGGTCCGACGAGTATAGATCGTGAAGGTCTTCTGGCACAGTCGATTTATCCTCCGAGGTCTCAACCAACTTGTGTAGCTTATTCAATCGTGAGAACATCTCGCACTAACCGACATCATGCACCTATTTTACAAAACTTGCACCGTCGTCTACGAAAATGAGTGTCGTGTACCATGGCACCCCACGGTTCGTATATGGGACGCCCTCGTGACTAATCTGTGCGTTCTAGTCGGTCCACTCTTTCGCGTTGGTAGTACGTCTTGTCCTCATTTTTTAAAAAAGGTACGTGGTCTCGTGGGTGATCTCGGCGGGCAACTGGGGTTCGAATTTGACTCAATTCTACTCCTGCTTCCATTCAATCCGAGTCAGAGTCGAAAATGTAGTCATTCAGGTGCTCCTGTGCAATTTCGCCTCTAGACAAATCGTAAAAATAGGTTTTTCGACTCACTCTGCGCTCATCGAGTGCTTCTCGCATATTTTCCGTGTATGCCGATACGAGAGTGACGCGTCGACTATATTCATATTATCGGTTGTTGTTCCAGCCCGACCGACCATGTCGGTTATCACCGTGATTAATTCGACGATAATACCGTCGATCAGTTCGGCCACTTCGGCGATCGTCGAACCTATACTCACGTCTCGGTTCACTCCGACGAATTCTACATCCCTTTCCTTCTGTCGGCTATTCCGTGTCTCTCTCTCGCGGTTATTGAGCCCGTGTCCGGGTTTTACTCAGTCACGCTGTTTCTTTCGCCTTTCGCCGAGCAAATGATGACTGATGATCTTCTCCACGCGCTGGATATCGTCGAGTCGATGCGAACAGATCAGGTCAATTGATTCGTCGTCACCGCAGTTTAACAGGAATTGCCCGACGTGGTCGACAGCATGCACACCTCCTTTTTCGTACTATAACTGCTCCGTCCGTGCTTTTTCGTTCAGTAAAATTAGAAAAATGGCAGACGTGCTCTGTATCACCACACTTCGCTGAGTGGTACCTTGACCTAGCAGACTGATCGAACTACGAGCAGTATTATTTTATAAACGCTTGACTGAACAGCTTCCACCTCCCCTATGTCGTCTTCGGGGATTTTCGATGCCAAATCTTGGCCGCTTTTTCCAGAACTAACGAAAAAGGATCACATCACTCATCTTGCGGTTGGCAAGTCCATTTCATCTCGTTGGTGAATCGTTTAATCCATCGCAACGCATAACCAAAATGATAACGCTCCCATTCAAACTGTTGATCTTTTCCAATGGTGCGTGTGGGTGTATTTCCATGACGTGGTCTCTATCACTTTCAGCATCAACGTATTTCAATTGTCTGTTGAGGCGATTCGACAGCTCATTGGCCTCTTGATGATCGTCGTGCGCATCTTCATCGTCTTCGTAATACCCATCACCTGTCGCCACCTCAGTCGCCTCTCGATACCTCGATCGTGAAGTCTCCATTGTCCGTAGAATGCGTGGTTGTGTGACCATCTGGGAATCAACTTGGTACGTTGTGCCTTCCACCCTTTCAAAGTCTCCTCGTCTCGGATCTGAGGGTTTCGGCAGTGGCGTGTTCGCTGGTCCCAAGTCTTCGACTTCTCGCACGACTTGTTCATCGAGATATGGTGCTGGTTTCTTTATCTTCCACGACCACCATATCCACCTGAATTCAACGGCTCAACGGAACGAGAAACTTCGTTCCGCCTCACACCCCTATAACTTTCTTCAGCTTACAATTTTCCACTTCATCAACTTGCTGCCCACCAAGCGAACCTGTAAGTCCGATAACAGCAGCTTCATGGGCACCATTTCGCACTTATCCCCATCGCTTGTAGAAGTAGCACCTTGCTGTCGGCTAGCTGTCCTAGAGACACGTTGTTGAGGTTTTGCATTAGCTCATTGCTCAGAATTCTTCCACGTCGCTTGGCAGGCTGCCTTTGGATTGAAAAGTTAAATCCAGCGACTCCTCTTCATTTCCTTGGCGAGTCGGTACAGAGCCCGATTCGCCAGAGGTTCTCGACATTCATCGTGGCCCTGAGAGCTAGCGGGAGGCGCTCACCAGGGTCACGCCTTGACCACTATCTTCCTCTTCGTCGCGCTCGTCGGCCTGACGTCTTACGATCCCGCTAGGGTCGTCGGCGTGGCCCACATGCATCGAACGTTCTTTGGCTTCATGGTTGAATACAAGGTCATCGTTGTCATCAACGTGTCCATCTTCCTCGCTATCTTGACCACTCGCTTTCAAGTAGTCAAAATGAATGGCTCGATCCACCCTCGCGTCCGCGTGGGTGATTATCGATCTCGCCGAGTTGGACTCAGCACGCGAAAAATGCTGGGCTATCGCCGAGGTCTTGCCTCTTGCGTCTTTCGATTTGATGACCATTATGCCTACTGGTTATTTTTTACATGCTAAAATAATCAGACACCCTTAATTTTTCCGGGTCTTAAAACCAGTTGTGGTAACGTAGTCAGATATGTAGTAATACAGTCTTAGGCGTAGCGACACAAAAATCTTCGAGCTAGCCGTCGCAGTCGGTCTTGTATGTTGGGTCAATTCCCTTCGCGGTTCGCCCCTTTGGGTCCAGTTGTGGCTCGCCTAGCTGAATACCTCCAAGCACTCACACTCCTCTCCACAAGACTGCCTGAGCTCAGCAGTTTCCGTTCCTCTAATCCTGTGACCTCGTACCAATGGGTAGACGTCGTCTTTTTCACTCTTTTACAGGTCACCGGGCGTAGTATACGTCCGATTGGAAGACGCAAGGTGTCCTTGGTTGAATACCCACCGGCTCGTCGCTTGACGGGTCTTTGGACAGTGCCGTCTATTGGGTCACTGGCTCACCGTTCGCGTTTCCTAAGACGGTACCGTCTATTGGTTCACCGGGTCGCCGTGTAACGAGACTATTCTTTTCCTGGAAGCGAGTAATGCCCACCCTGAGCCGACTAAACTCTTGGTGTTTCCAATCGATTCCTCTACAAGCTTTTCTCCTCGAGGCTCGACATCAGGCATAATCCAGCCCACGCAGGGACTTACCTCAAACGTTGCACGTGTCTTGATCTTGGATAATTCTGCTCTGTTCTGGTTATCTCCTATTCTATTCCTGATTACAAACTGATCATTGAGTGGTTCTCCTTCATCCCCCTCGTCGTCCTATACTACTACCTAGTAAGATGGGCAAATCATCATCTTGCTCTCTCGTCGAGTCGGGTCCTACCTCGTCGATCCTTGATTCGCCGACTTCGATGTGCTCTATTTTCTCTCGTCGGTTTCACCACTGCTACAGTCAAGTCAATAGTAGGGAATACCACGTTCGGCAATTTCCTACACCACGACTGTTTGTTTTTGCATGTATCGTACAGTATACAAACAAATGTGCTGGTTCTTCGCGTAGCGTGCTTCCTGATGCTTCCATTTTCGCTTTAAATTTTGCTTGGCCGCCCATACTCGCACGATCTTATTCGGTGTAACAGCGACACAGCATCGTCGCTGGACATCGTTCGCTCATTGCCAAGTCATCTGCAGATTTATGGTTCAAATACTCCTGAAAAGAGGTGTCTGTCCACTTTTCTTTTGGGTGGTACTCCCGACATTCTTTCCAGCAGCGATCCCGCCACCTCGATTACCGTCCCTGACAAATATGCATTATCAATGTGGTGGGTAGAAGTTGCACACAGGCTCAGGATATGCAACAGGTCGATAAGAGGGAGAGAGAAGTCAGAGAGCGCGACCTTCTACTGCAAAACTCTTCGTATAAGGCGAGAGATCAACAGAGATGTGTACTACGACATCGCTTGCGTGGTAGCATACCTCCACTTTGACTAGCGCTCATCTTTTCGCTTGGGCGCGCAGCGACAGCCTGATCCAACTTTGTCCCGAATTGAGCATCAGGTGGTTTTCCCAAACTTGACCCGATCTCCTGCTGCTTTCTCGTCCATATGTGCTGTTTCGCGCTCTCCTTCAGCTATTCACAAAAGCAGCCAATCCAATTGCAGCATTTCGAACGCAAGTGCACCCGCCACTCAAATGGACACGAGCGATGCCTCTCCGCCCGCTACGCCCCCGTCTACCTCTGCTAGTACCCCTCGCTTAGCCGTCGGGCCAATGGCATCACGAGCGCTATCATCTGCTGCACCTGTTGACTCCAATTTGGCTGCCAATGGCCTTGAGGAGAGCGAAGACGACAGCAACAACGACGACCATAGAGGCCGCAAGCGGCGTCGACTTCGACGTCGTGACGCGCCGTCGTCGCCTCGTTCGAGTCGGCTCGCGACCGGTGAATTTCAAGACAGTCAGGTTGTTACTGACGGCTTTGAGGCGCGGGACGAGGCACGAGCGCACGATGACGACGAGGAGGAGGACGATAGTAATGGGGTACGGGTGGAGGAGGACGAAGAGGAGCTCGAAGACGAAATTGTGGACGAGCTGGACATTGAAGAGCGAGAACGGGCGTACTTTAGTGAAGACGATCCCAACGACGAGGAGGATGGCGAAGATTTGGTTGAGAATGCAGAGCTGTAGGTCACTGCTGTTGCAGCTACTGTCGTGTTTAGTTGTATGTACATATCTGTATTCTATGGGAAAGGGACGCAGGTCTAGAGCGATGTGGCAGGTCTATTGCATCTGCGATATGTTGACGTCATATTACTGCTGTGTGTGTGTGCTGGGCTTGCTGGAAATAGGGACTACCGGCGCATGGACACGCTGGATCGATATGACACGAGTATGCTGGATACGAGACAATATGGCGAGATGGATATCGATACAAGAAGAGCAGTAGAAGACGAGCTGAATAGACGGGACGCGCGGGAAGGACGCATTGCACAGGTGTTTGCAGACGACCAGGAGATGGAGCATGATGATGCTCACAGACGACGAGTGCGACGTTTGACCGAAGGAGAAGACGGATACGACGAGATGGGTGGCGTAGCAGATGACGAAGAGCTGATGAATTTGGAACACTTTGACGTGCCGCTAAGGGAGTGGATAGCCACGGAACGACCGCGGGGAGAAATCAAGCGGCGGTTTCGGAATTTTCTCAACACGTTTGCAGACGGCAAAGGCAGGTTAGTTTATCATGAAAAGATTGTGCAACTTGCGCAGCGCAACGAACAGTCGCTGGAGATCGAGATTGGCGATGTTATCCAGAGCATGTCAATGGTTGCAGCGTGGCTGGTCGAAGCTCCGAAGGATATGTTAGTGATACTGGATGAGGTTGCTCTAGAGGTCGTGCTGGCGTTGTTTCCGTACTACTCTACGATCCACCAGCAGATTTATGTGCGCATCCTGGATCTCCCTGGTACTGAGCGACTGCGAGACTTGCGGACGGCACACTTGAACTTCCTCATCAAGGTATCAGGTGTTGTGACTCGACGCACGTCGGTGTTTCCGCAGCTGCAGCTCGTCAAAGTCAATTGTCCTGGCTGTGGCGCCGTCCTAGGCCCATTCACGCAACAGGGTCAGCAGGAAGTGAAGTTGAATGCTTGTCCGGAGTGCCAGTACCGAGGCCACTTTCCCGTGAACAGTGAGCAGACAGTGTATCGCAACTTTCAGAAAATCACGCTGCAAGAGTCGCCGGGCAGCGTGCCACCTGGTCGTGTACCACGTTCGAAAGACGTGGTTCTAGTCGGTGATCTTATCGACAAGGCTCGGCCAGGTGATGAGATCGCTGTTACTGGAATATATGTCAACACGCCCGACCCTACCTTAAACCTGAGGGACGGATTTCCCGTATTCCGCACTGTGATCGAAGCAAACCATGTCGAGCGGCGCGCTGATGTGCTGGGCAGCCAGTTGCTCACAGCAGAAGACAAGAAGCAGATCTTACGTCTTGGAAAACAACCCGATATTGCACAGCGAATCATCAACAGTATTGCGCCGTCCATTTACGGGCACCAGCAAGTGAAGACAGCGTTAGCTTTGGCGTTGTTTGGTGGAAAGCCCAAATTCATCAAGAACTCACGCGTGCGCGGCGACCTGAACGTGCTGATGGTAGGAGATCCTGGCACGGCAAAATCGCAGTTTCTTAAATTTGCGAAGCAAACTGCACCGCGTGCCGTGTACTCCACAGGCAAAGGTGCCTCCGCAGTGGGTTTAACGGCCGGTGTGTCGCGTGACCCTTTTACCAAGGAGTGGGTTCTACAAGGTGGCGCTTTGGTGTTGGCAGACAAGGGCGTATGTCTGATCGACGAGTTTGACAAGATGAATGAACAGGATCGTACGAGCATTCACGAAGCTATGGAGCAGCAAAGTATATCGGTGTCAAAGGCCGGCATTGTCACGTCGCTGCAGGCCCGATGCTCTGTTATAGCTGCTGCCAACCCTATCGGCGGCCGTTACAACGCTGCTCGAACCTTCGCAGAGAACGTGGAGCTCACGGATCCGATCCTGCAGCGCTTTGACCTGCTTTGCGTTTTGCAAGACAAGGTCGACCCCGTTGATGACGAGCGACTTGCCGATTTTGTAGTCTCCAGTCACATGCGTAGCAATCCGAATACAAAAGCTAACGAAGAACAAGCAAAAGGAGCTAACGACGAAGACGAATTGAGCGCGATGACGCAGTCTTTGCAATTCGGCGACGACAATGCGAGCATGACGCTCGACCAAGAGCTGTTACGCAAGTACATTTTGTACGCGCGCACTTTTGTTAATCCTGTGCTCGCTAGTGGACTGGACACGGGCAAAGTGGAGGCATTTTACGTACAGCTCCGGAGAGCGTCGCAGCACACAGGTGCGGTGCCTGTTGCTGTTCGTCACTTGGAGTCACTGTTCCGCATGGCCGAAGCGCATGCCCGAATGCATCTTCGCGATAGTGTGGGAGACGAAGACCTTGCGCTGGCAATTCGGGTGTTGACTGAGAGCTTGTGCGACGCTCAAAAGTTCACCTTTAGACGTCAATGGCGACGTCTGTTTCGGCCGTACCTGACGTACCGACAGGACAACAACGTGCTCCTGCTCCACGTGCTTCACGAATTGTTCAAGTCGGCGCATGCGTATGAGCAACTGCGCATGCAGACGAAAGCACAAGCGAGCCATCGCAGCCACAAAGAGACGACGCTTACCGTCCTGCGTGACGATCTACTTTCAAAAGCTAAGTCTGTCGGTATCTACGATCTCAGTGAGTTTTACGAGTCGGCGGCGTTCACTAAGGCAGGCTTCCGCATCGATGAGTCAGCCAACACCATTGTCAAGGACATCTGATAGCATGCAAGCACGAAATCGAGGTCGTGTACAAGTAGTTGGTATTCCCCGTCATGGCGTGGACAGTGTCTTGGGCACAAAGCATTTCTTCGAATGGGATTATATTATAGAGCAAATACATGTGGTGTCTGGTTGTAGTGGAAGTTGTTCTTGCATCGTCAAGCATGTGCTGGGTGTCTGTGTATGCATAAAGTCGAAGAGAGCAATTAGTTGCATTTAGTATGAAGAGGTGCGAGTGATGTTTCGGAATACCCGAATCCACACCGTCGTGCTCGACAGCATTTCAGATCTGAAAACTAAATAGAATGAAAGCATGGTCTTTAAAACTGAGTGGTAGCTAAAAAGGTGGATACGTTGCAAGACTACAAGATGCCTTGATCTGTAGCACCAAAGCGACCTCACTTCCCCATCTTGATCAAGAAACATCGCGTACATTGAGTTTGCGGCAAAGCATATCATTCTAGTAGCGTTACAGTTATATTGCAATCTCGTGCCTCCGACGTGTGTGCCATGTCGGCATCAGCTCTCGATATCTAAGCGCTGTTCGTCCACGGGTCCCATTACATCCCACCGTTATGTAATCAAACCTATATTCCATACTCAGGTGGAAACAATCAAAACGACACTGATTCATTCACGTCTCCTAATGGTGCGCGCACGATACTAAGACGGTATGGTCTGTTGAAGTCCTACTTTTCGGGAATCCAAAATTGATTGGAGAAAGTATGATGGGCGTACAAGACTCAATTTGACCTTGAAATGCGCTGGACCTGTGCACTAGTCTGCTGCATCAGCAGACTACGCTACGTCAACACATGGATCGAGGTAATAGTCTGCACAAAGTACAAGAAGAGAGCTACTAATCAGCGAGTAAATAAACAGAGCTACAATGAGAACTGTATCTCTATCAGATCAGGGCTGTACTCAAAGACGGGTCTTTGATGATGCATAAATCTACGCAAAGACGAGTCTTGACTGATACAAAGATGGGGAGTAGATTGTAGATCGACCCTGCCGCTCAATAGCTCATGATTAGCCGATATGTTATAGTTTGTTGACAGTTATAGTAAATATCCTGACTGGGCTCCATGCTCATTGCGCGTGGCACTCTTTGACGCTACATCTCACTCTTACGTGCTGTGGCTTTCCGAGAGATTGTGGTGTCCATGATTGCTCTTTATGGTGAGTACGACAAAATGTGTCAATGGCGCAACCAATACCAATACTTGTGCAAAAGGATCGCGGCCAAGAGTAATGTCCATTCTCCATCCAAAGATACTCTATTTTTCATGTTACTGCTCCACATATTGTTTGGTGTCAGCAATTGCACGCGAAAGAATCGAGTCTACATACTCGGTATTAAGCTTCGCGTCGTGTCAGTGAGTTTCATATTTGCGTGTGCCTGAGAGAAGCTGTGGTCAAGCAATGCCACTTGACCTCGACATGTGCGGGTCACATCCCGGCATTGGTCGCCCGAGAAATACCAGTCTATCAATAAACGAGAAATTGTTCTCACAATCAAGACGCTGATCTCGATCGCCGTCTTGTGAAAACACGTATCGCTACTACGTGTCGAGAACCCACGGCTTGACCAATTTCGATGTATTTACAAGTTGCACTGCGCTGCACCGCTTCTCATCGCCTTTGCAATGAAATGCTGACGACAGCAAAAAAACTGCTGAGCAGCTGGTCAACGCAATTTGTCTGCTACAACATTGCCCGTGCCATTTGTACCACGAGAACATGGTAAGTTATCTGAGCGCCATGATTCGCTGAAAAGCAATCAAAATACGTTTTGCAATGTTGCGCTATGCGTCTCCATTTCACCCAATCACACGCCTCCATTGTCGGCCAAACGTCGATGTGGTCGCCGTCGTCGCCGTCGTCCTCTCTCGACGCGGAGCAGCGGTTCCCTCGACGGCCACGACGCGCTATCCACCATCCCATAGCTCCCTCGCCACGACGCAGTAGCGCTACCAGTCTCTTGGAGCAGCTTCGGCGCGATTTGCCGCCTTTCACGAGCTCTACGGAGCGCAAGTGCGCACTTAACGCGACGACCACCGAGGCCACGACGTTAAGTTCGTCCGTTGCAACGGCCGCTGAGTGTTGTGTCATGTCTCAGGACCGGAAACAAGAGCTGTGTATGGACCGTTTGCGGAACAGTCCATTTGACGATTATGGAGTCATTGGGTCGATGCTGAAGGACAGACCCAGCGCTCGGATGCTGTTCAGTCGACCAGAGCGAGAGGAAGAGGAGCGAGAAGAGGAGGCGCTACCGTCGTACTTGAGCTATCTACAGGCTCCGTCAATGGCAGGAGAGAGTGCTACTGCTGCTGCTGCTACTGCAGTGCCCTCTCCGATGGCATTTGACCACTTATTGACTCGTGGACAGACACATGTCGATCCGATGCAGAGCACAAGTCAGGAGCTGGTAAAGGCATTGCAGGACTTTGTACTGGTGCAAATGCGTCACCAACGAGGAGCAGAAGATGCTGCGACATTGTTGACGAGCTCTGGACCACAATGCAACTGTGCGTGGCGCGTCGCGGAGCTAGAGAAGCAAGTGGAGTCTCTGATAGCTGCTAAGCACGATAAGACGAGGCCTCGTGCAACGGATGAGACGGGAAACGCGATGGGGGATCGAGTGTCGACGCTTGAAGGAAGGCAAAGTGCATTCCAGTCGCAACTCGCGCAGATTTCGAAAGTGCTGGGGGTGTCGATGGGCAAACATGGCAAAAGCAGTCAGTTGAAGACGCTGGTTCAGACGTTGCACGAAGAGATCGATGCGAAGGTCCATACAGGTTCGTGCCTTGTACTCACGTTCGTGTAAGGGTTCGCTATGCACAGCTTGACTTATACTTGTTGCTGTAGCCATTGCTGATATGGAAGCCACGTGCGTTGCCAGCATGACCGTACGTGATGAGGAAGTGGTTGCTGAAACATCTGCTGCGGATGTGGAGTCGCCGACGCCGTCTGGTCTTGATCAGGAGAAAGAAGAAAAGCTGCTTGGCGACTGCAGCTCTGTCCCACAATCGGGGCTTGCGTTTTCGACTGTGTTGAATGCGCTTGCGGTCGAGCACGGGGCTTCATTGACGAGATTGAACGCACATTTTGACGAACGCTTGCGCCTAGAAGGTTTACAGCGCGTGGCTCTTGAGGGACGCGTCCAAGCACGCTTGGGAGAAGTAGAGGAATGGTTGCAGCAAGTCGAAGGCGAGCTGGGTGGCTCACGTTTTGGATCCACCTCATCGTCGTCAATCGCTGCTTTGGCCGATGAGATGACCAGGCTTCAGGCCTATATAGCAAAGGTGGAAGCCTCGTGCAACCAGCAGCATTTAGAAGTGATAAGGCTGTCTGCAAAATTGAAAAAGCTGGATCACTTCGAACACTTGGGGGGCCAGCTGGATCAGCAGAAGGATGACGTGAAGGTGTTGCGTGAAGATTTGCGAACTTTCGCTTCTTTGGCCCAGAAGGAGACACAAGCAGTGGCTCGCACGTCCCAGGGCCTCAAGTTCATTGTGGAAAAGCTGTTGCGAGACACAGGTTCTGCTGAAGAGCTACTACGGCAGTATGTGAGTACGATCACACACCAAGTAGCAAGCGTGACGCGGCAATACGTATCTGTTCGAATCCGGGACAACAACCGACTGCTTGACGCCACGTTGCGTGCTCGCATACCGGACTACGTTTCGAATGAGAGCGAAGGCTTTTTGTTGGTGTGCCCAGAGACGAAGAACGAACGAGACGGCTGCGAGTTGGACTGTGAGGTGACCCAAGAGCCCGAGGAAAGTACAGATTTTAGCTTTGGACTGCGTGAGGACGCCAACAAGAGGATCTAGCGCTTACCAGCAGCTAGCCAGCGTACTGCGTTCGCTTAAGCACCACTGACAACACCATCAGCCCTGACGCTGGTGCTGTTGTTGCTGCTGCTGTTGTTGCTACTGCTGCTGCTGCCGCGATGTTATCTAGAGGTTGGAGTGCGACACCGTTGGGGGCCCGCGTCTCGTTTGCGGCACGCACACACATAGGACTGCGCGCCTGGTCGAACATGTCTAGTTTTTGCTGCTGTGTTGCAATGTTATAGCGTTGATCACGTCCGCTGCATCACCGACCACTGCTTATAAAGTCGTGCTGCAGGTTTCATCGTTGCAACAATACTCCGCTTTGATACTCTTATCTGTAGCGCACTTGCGCTGCGTGATGCAGACCCGAAATGGGTTCGCATCAACCAAAAGGCTTGACCATGTGTATACCATAAAGACGACACAAGTTTGTTATCACACATCTCATGATTATTAACTGATACCACACATCTCATGAATTACCGAACATTTGCTGCTCTGGACGATGAGTTCGACTACGCAAAGCAATTTCCACAATGACGGCAAAACTTACCACATTATCAGATCCAAGAGCTATCGTGCACCTGTCGCTGTGTGTGAACGATACGACATGGCAGTCAGTATTTCTTGTGGCCATCGAAAGTTGAGCTCTGTACGTTTCTGGAAACAGCTTGTTCGCGTTGGTAGTAGATAGCACGAGAGTAACGTTAGTCTTCGCTCATAACGTCTTCATCAGCCGTCAGTTCATCCGACGAATGAAACGGTACGCATTGCCTGTGACTTGGAGCTGACCAAACCAGTACACTTGCACTTACCTGAATACTTAGTTTCTACCACGCCAACTAGCACAGATCAAATGTACATAGCTATCAAGTCGCTGCCATATGTAGTGTACCGGGTGAGACGAGACCTCGCGCAACAATGTGAACGCGAACTACTTGTAAAGCATTCCGAGAAACATCACGCAAACTACATGCGAAGCATTTCTGGAAACACCTGTATACGACAAACAAGGGGCCGAATAATCGCTGAAATGCAGCCGTGACATTGCAAGATATGACCCTTAGAATACCATCTCAAGTCGCTGCGATTTGCGGCGGTATGTCGACTGTCTCACGCGATCTCCCATGTAGGTGACGCCGAATGTCAATCAGGACGGTGAACATCATCTTGCCGATGACAACAATTGCATGTCCAGTGTGTGTGAACCCGAGCACCATCGACAGAAGTGTCTCCAAAATAATAAATACTCGCCGCTTCGAGTGGTGTCGGGATTGCTGTCAATGCGCTGGCTGCACGAAAGAATAGTGCAGTCGAGATCATACGCTTTCTTGGCTTCGAGACTGCCAAAGGTATGCGATGAGTAAACACCGCTGTCCTTGCACGCGTCAAAAAGCTCCGTGGCGTACGCAGACTTCGACTACGATAAGCTCAGAGCTCCGTCCACACAAACTTCCAACATCAGATCCAAGCAAACGCGCTTGTCGGTGACTCAGAATCTTCAATTTGTGAGTCACCAAACCTCAGCTGGCTGCACAATATGACTCGGTATGCTACAGGTCGACGCGTACTGAAAACGTGCGCGTGTGCTCTGTGCTTGTGGGCACAACTCGCGATTAGTGTTGAGACTGACGTAGCATAGGACATGGCATCGGGCACGGCAATTCTTTTCACATCTTTGCAGAAAACCAAAGTCCAATTTCGACACAATCATGCCACCACCGACAGCATGCTTCTCGAGTACTCGGTAGATGCCTCACTTTTTCGGAAAGCACCACAAATTCGTGCGCGCCAGCTCAAAAATCGACCTCAGATGAGGGAGCACGCGACAATGAGGCATAGAGCGATCGAATCTGCTGGCCAAGTCCAGCCTGTTGCTGCAACAGCAGTCGGTTCTGACCCTCGAGGTCTTTTGGCTGGGCTTGGCTTTTCGATAGTCGTGTATTTTGGCCACCTCTACCAGGCAGAATCGTTTCGGCCGAGACCGAAGTCGCAGGTGTGCTTGGCTGCATCTCCACACCAGTCGTCGCACCAGACTGATGAGCAAGCAGCTTCTGCTGTTTCTGGATCTCGTATCGGCGGCGACAGCGTTCCCGCTCACGCAGACGCTGCTCTTCGGTCGCGTTTTGGCGTCGTATACGGCTCCTTTGCGCCTCCCGATTGCGCTGTTGCTCGGTCGCATTCTGACGACGCTCACGGGAGCGCTTCACCTCCCGTTCCCGAGCATCTTGAGATGCCTCAGCACGGCGCACCCGACTCCGCGCGCGTTCTTCGATTCGCTGCCGTTTCCTCACCCGTCTTTCCGCATCCGCTTGCCGTTGAGCGGGCGTCAACCGCTCTCGTCGACGTCTACTACGCTCCGCCTCAGCTTTTCGAGCTTCAGGGGTCGCTTTCATTCGACGAATGCGGCTGCGATCAGCTTCAGCTGACTGCCTTGGAGTTGAAGGTAAAGGCGACGTCCCGTGCTCGCCACTCAGCCACGTCCATCCACAAGTGGCTTCTAGTGGTTGTGCTCCTGAACTTCCTCCTACCACTCCAGAACAATCTGGGCCTTGACCGGCTGCTGAGACTGGCTCGTGACTCGGAAGAATTCCCAGCGGTTGGCAAGATGAAGATCTTCCCACGGCCGGCAACATCCTGAGAAAATCATTGTATGCAACGTCGTGGGACTGACATATGTGTAGCAAAGCTTGACGCCGGCCCAATTCATTAGGCTCGAAAGCATGTGGCACCTCACTCGTTTTCCGAGCCACTTTGCATCTATGGCCAGCAACACAGCATACAATTACCATCACGTTTTCTCTCTCGACATAGTAAACAAGTAAGCACGCGCCGTACAGTCGACACGACCAGCACTCCCTCTCCGCAATTTCACCCCATTTATTGTCTTGCATGGAAATCTACAACCGCAACAACAACAACAACCGCAACAACAACAACAACAACCGCAACAACAACAACCGCAACGACAACAACGGCACCCAAAATGACAATAACATCAGCCACAGTATCACAGGGCAACAACAATAACAGCATCAGCAGCCACCATCGCAATTACACAATAACCATAGACAGTAACAAATTAGCAATGCGTCAGCTTCCACGCCAGCCACAGCGCCACCAACAACTCGTACCATTCTTTTCTCAGTGGACTTGAGCTGACTGAACCACGCCGTCGCATCTTTCTTGCGTCGCGGGCCAAATCGCACGCGCTGGTTCTCTTCTTCCGTGTGGCCATTGAACCGGTACAGCACGTTTTTCAAATGACACGTTTTAAAATGCGTCACAAAATATCTGATGCCACCGCACAAACAGCAACAACAACACAAATAGTATCAGATAAACAATAGTCGAGATGGAGAAAACCCACCAGCTTGTGGCACTAGCCAAAAGAGTTGTCGTCTCAGAAAACCCCAAACTGCCCTCAATGAACACGAACGAAACGCACCGCGGGTGCCGTAGGAAGTCAAAGAAGAAGTTTTCATTGCACTCTTCGCACCGGATGAGGTTTGCGCGGATACGGTCAAAGTGCTCGTCGATTCGTGGACCACCAGCAGCAGTAGCCGCTGCTGCGTGGCAGTCGGTCAGCTCCATACTGTCTGAAAAACAGTCCGCGAAGGCCACACACACACACACACGCGCACTGCGGTTGACTCAAAGCCGTTTTTAATAGCCGCGTGAGCGGGTGCGGAAATTAGAAACGCCCTATAGAGCGATCGCTCGATGGGCTAAAGTCGAGATGTACAGTCGGTGGCACAAGTTTTCAAGGGCACTGGGATTGGTCACTCGCGCGGGGGACTTCGCCGGTGCGGCCAACAACACAGTGGGCGACGACCAAAGGCGGACAATCGACCCCAATGGCGCGCGTGTTTGTGGGCAATTTGCCCGAAGACGTGCGAGAGCGGGACCTGTCGGACAAGTTCGACCGCTTTGGCCGCATCGCCAGCGTGCGCATCAAGTTCCCGGCGCGTCCGCCGCCTTTTGCTTTCATTGTGCGATTGCTCTCTGGACTGAATAAAACATTGGGCTTATTAATGAGGACATGATCTTTGCGTGTATGTGTTTTAAACTAATGGTGTGTGTTTTCTATCCTTGTGATTTTTTTATGTCTTTTGTCTGTTTGTCTATCTGTCTGTCTGTGGGTTTGTTGGAATCGGATGGATAGACATATGATAGCGAACAAGACGCTAGTGACGCTGTGCGGTCGATGAACAAGTAGCGACAATGTGTGGGGCATGAACGAGGACAACGGCCACGAGACTCATGTTGTTCGTCTGTTTGATGTGTGTGTTGTATGTGTGTGGCAGCGCAAGTTTTGGCGGCAGTCGCCTGCGGGTCGAGATGTCTCGCGGCGTGGACGACGCTCGGTACCAGTATATAAAAAACCGTATGCATGTTGTGGTGTTTAAAACAAGTGTACTTATGGGTTGTGTGTGTGTGTTGTTGTGTGCTGTATGTTTGTGCAGCCCCCGCGGCACGCAATTTCGCGTCACGCTTACGGGGTTACCTGATTCCATGAGCTGGCAAGACCTCAAGGACTTTCTCCGGAAAGGAGGAGACGTTGTCCATAGTGACGTCGATCGTCGTGGCAATGGCACGGCTTCGTTCGCTTCGCAAGAGGAGATGGATCGTGCCATTCGCAAATTGGACGGCACGGACCTGGACGGAGATCGCATTCGGATTCGAGGAGAGGAGACTGGAGGACGCTTGCAGTCTGCCTCGCGCTCGCGTTCGAGATCTCCGCCTCGACGTGTCAGTCGTAGACGCTCGCCGTCCCGCTCTCGGTCCCCGCGTCGGCCTAGCAGCCGCATCGGTCGGCGTGACCGTGATCGATCGCGCTCGCGTTAGAGGCGTCCGTGTGAACGACGCACTGGCTGCTGGTCGATAAGCCGGAGCGGAGATTGCAGCAGCTTGCTGTTGTCGACGGCACCTAAAGCGCTTACCAGCGGAACATGACGCAAGCAGAGAATACCAAAGCTTTGTTCGACGCCTTGAGCGTAACTCTTGTCGTGCTTGACGCCTGCGCCGCATGCCATGGTTGGACATGCGGACTTGTTTTGCCTATCCACCAGCTGTCCTGCTTGCCGCTACAGCTCATCTGGCTGTGAAATGCGAGTGAAGAATGTTTCACCCGACTGTCTTTCGCCAAAGTGTGATCTCTTGCTGTTTGAAGTAGCGGCAGTCGTCCTCATCCACCAACACGAGGTTCAAGAAATACGTGACGGAAAACTGGCCGTGCACGTTGTAATACGTGGGTGTGAGTGCATAAGGAGCGAGGTACATGCGAACAGGAATACTCTCGCCTTCAACGGGAGCACCGTCCATGACTTCAAACTTGGCGATCGTGTCACGCTCACTGCGTCGAGGAGCTCCAGACGTTACACTCTCGCGACGCAAGATGGCCAGCTCCATGTGCTTGATCTTGATCTGCACCACTACAAACGAAATCCTGCCGACCACCACGTCATTAAGGTGGTACGTCGACTTGCCATACTTGAACTCAATGTGCAGACACTCTTCAATGCCCACTTCCATCTTCAGCGGTCCATTAGACATCGCAGGTGAGGGCACAACCTGCTGAATGCACACACCTTGTTCGTGTACGACACTACTCGCGTACTTCCCCCTGGCCAAAGTAGCTCGAAGACCGTATCTCAATGTCACACGGCGGCCATAGTAACTGTCGTAGAGTGCACCCACATTGGCAAAGTCAAACGCAAAGCTTTCGTCGCCTTCCAGCACCTGTCCACTCGATTGCAAAGCTCGAGAACAGCTCAACACTTCGTGGCGCGCAGCACTGCGGTCGAGTTCCTGCTCGATGTAGCCAACAAGTTCCAAGGTCAGTCCCCTGTGCTCCAATCGTTTGCCCGACTCCACTGTTACAATTAACTTTCCGCAAATAGCTTCGCCGTCACAAAAAAGCGGTGCGTCGGTAACATGGCTACGTTTTCGAACGTCGTCGATAGGCGGAAGCGTGAGGTTTTTTACACGGTCCTGCGGCCGCTCGAAGGCGAAAGTGAGCGCCGCGGAGGGCACGCGCAGGTTAAACACATTCTGTTGCACGCCACAGGAGCGAACGCATAGTTAGGTACTGGACACGCTTCGAGATAGAACAACGACTGAAAGAAGAGACGACGCGTGACGTGCCATTGAGGTTTGCCAGCGACGGATTTCAGAAGCGCTAATGCTGCTGAGAAGTAATGTATGCCGTTCTGTGGGGTTTGGCGCCCTCGTTTTGTTGCACTTGTTGGTTTATTTTGGGCAATTTAGTGTGCCACTTCACAGCCGACTTTTGGGCGTGCGTAACACGGCAGTACCAGACGACAGCGACGGGACATACCGAAACGGCCGTGTGATATTCAGTTTTCGACAATGCATTGCGTGTGTTTCAACTGGCTTTAGGATTGTGGAATCGATTATGGTTTGCGAACGTGAATGGATTCGAACACCGTTTTGCTACGGTCGCAAAGCCTATTGTGACAGAGTTCACCACTACAAGTCCTGTGAACGAAATCGAGGAACAAGCTCTTACGCTCGCCGTGAATAAGCAAACTCGTCCAGAAAGATGTATGGGGTATTGACTAGTACGCTTTATTCGTCATGGATTATCAGGTTTGGCGCTAGCAATTGGGATGGGCGTTGTGAGGTGCGATCTCCACAGTGTTGCCGTGAATGTTGTGTGTTGACGCAACTCGATGGTGCAGCTCGCATGCTCGAAAAGCGATGCGAGTCCTACAAAGGCGGCGGCTATTCTCGCCAGTTTAACTATGTCAACAACGTGCGACCAACGAAATCGAATTTACTGATGAGGACTGCAAAGTCGGGCATCTTTCCGGGGCCGAGCGAGTAGAATTACTATACACTTTACAAACTACTGACTTATAGGGGTCTCGCGCTCTGCGATTCAAAGTTAGCTTTGATCGCTCTCGAAATCTTCATCGCTACGAACGAGAGAGCTCAAAAAGGAAGACGTGCCATACCAAAATCGGTACGACACTCGCACAAGATTCAGAAATGGCTTTACCGGCGCAGCAACTTGTATAAGTCACACCAGCAAACGCTGAAGGCAGATTGCAAATCGCATATTGACGTTGTCGTACTTGATGTGTCTCAGCGTACCTTACAAACACACAGACACACTGAAAGATGCTGCCGATTAGATCAAGTTTTGCCTTACGCGTGGTCACAGGTAGCTTCGCCCTTTCAGCTTGCCACAAGCTTAAAAATTGAAGCTATCTATGGAATAGGTATCACATTTGGGTAAAACATACAATTACCACGATATACATAAACGTAATTCCGCGACAATGCGGTTATCGCGTACTTGGTGGTCAAGCTGCTTATCATGTAGCGCCGGAAGTGCGATGCTCTGAAAAGTCTTACTTCTCTGTGCTGTTTTCCCTCAATCGCGCTGAGTCAGTCACGTCTGGCTCTTGCACCGATTGATAAGGTTATAGAAAAGTTGCTGCTGGTCTTCGATGCGAGGACAAATCTAGGTAGTGTCCAGTCAGCAGTACTTCACAACTTGCCTACGATCGATGCTTATGTTCACGACTACGTGTCGCCCGCTGCAATCCATGAAGCCACCCATATCGTATAGCAGACGCTTCGTTCAAAAGCGCAGTCGACAAAGATCCATCTATTCTCAGAATTGACGTCCATCACTATACTCAAGCGACCAATTGCAATCCGGCTATAAGATAACAACCTCAATAAACGACTACAAAGCACACGTCGGTCTTTCACTGCGAACTTACAAGATATGCGGTTTAGCAGGTACCGGTTGACGAAAACCGGTTTACCAGTCCCTCTCCAGTATCTTCCAGCCTTGTTGTTGTCATCGCGTCGGAACAGCATCTGATTCCACTTTCAATGAACATGGACCCGCGGTACGTGGCCTCGGAAGGTCTCTTGCACGCCGATCGCTGCACTGCCGAGTACATCGGACGTGCTGCACATCGCGCAGACGCTGTGTGCTTCCGTGCCAGTCGTGCTGCAGTCGCTCGTGCGCCATTGGCCATACCACGCACATTTTACTATGAGACTCTGATTATGGCTACATCCCCGACCGCCAAAACATCTGCGCTATCGGTACCTGTGAGACTTAATACCCAAACGACGCCGACCTCACATCGAGCGGCTGGGGCACCACTGCGTCACGACGCTACTGTGCGATTGCCCCACAACCAAAGCCAAAGCCCACTTTTGGAGTCAATGGACACTGAAGACGTGTTAATGGCTACTGCTACAGACGCGTTGCCAGTGGAACGACCTGCGAGTATTAATTTCTTGTCGACTCGTCGATTGACGGAGCACTTGCAGTCAATCATTGACCGACCACAAGTCGGACGTAGCACGGACAAGCACAATTGCGAGCACGGCATTGCTGTCGGTTTTTTATTGGACAAAGCAGAGCCAAAGCGTGCAACATGGGGGCCGAAGGTGCCGTCCTGTGCGCTATCTTGTCGGTCCAATGGTGCTTCGGAGGCTGAGGTACCACGTATGGAAGTCAAGCACTGGACGCAGAGGACAATGTCAGGTATCGTGGCCGGCGAGGAGTCGGACAAGGAGGAGGAGGAGGAGAAAGCAGAAGAGACAAGAGCAAAGGATCAGGAGACGACGCGACCTGCGATCGTACATGAAGATTTGCACCAACTTGTCAATTCGGTGGCCTACGTGGGCAAAACAGGTCGCGTTGTCGCTCGTCAACGAAAGTGGTTGAAGTGTCAACGATATGGAGCAGGAGATGTTGTGGGGTGTGGCATCCTCTTTGACACAAACACGTTCTTTTTCACGCTGAATGGCAGCTTGGTAGGCATGTTGGCAGCTGCAGATGTGCAAAATTTGGACACTTTCGAAGAAGGTACAGACTCGGAGGAAGACGAGAGCGGTGTAGGTAGCTTGGCGGAGGATAACGAAGACGAGAAGGACGGTTTGGTGGACGACAATGGCATGTGGATCCCACCGGGTGGATGCAATGATGTTGATATGGAAGAGACTGGCGGTTGTAGTAGGGTCAAGCACGTACTGTATCCTTGTGTGAGTCTGCACGGTGCTGGCGAATGTGTACGTGCGATATACGAAGCTGAGGATTTCCTGTTCGACCTACCGGAGTTTGAACGGCAGATTCAAAAGGAGCGCCAAGAGGCATTGCTGGCAGATCGTGAAAGACTGAGGAAAACGGACGTCGCGTGTGAAAGCGATTGGTCCGATCACAAGACTGACACTGTGGTAAACGATCTGTTGCAGGACTTCTTTCTGCACAACGGCTATGAAAGTGCATACAAGGCGTTAAAAGCAACTCTTGAGCCTATGAGACGGCAACGTCTATCGCCAGACGGTATGGACGTGGTCGACAATAATGAAGTTGAAGCGAGTACTGTGAGTAGCGTTAGGGATGCGAAAAAAGGTGTTCAAGCAAAGATGTCAGAAAGGGAGGACGCGCAGTCGGGTTTGCACATTGAAATGAAGAAAGCGATGTGCGAGTCGCTCGGCTTACGCCATGAGGTGCGTGAGCACATTCGTTGCTGTCGTACAGCGCAAGCGTTGACAGTGATCGAGCAACAGGCACTCGTGGCAGCTCGGACAGATCGCCGTTCTCGTCAATGGAGAAAACTGATTCAGTCCTGTCGGATCCTTTGTGTTATCGACGTTTTGACTCGCAAAGGGGAGGCAAAGGTAGCCACTATCTCGTCGAAAGCATCGAATAGCGCACCACGTATGTTGACTACCGAGGAAGGCGAGTGTAATGGATGGAATGCGGAAGTGGCGATCGAGTTCGCACGTCAGATGTTTGGATCGTTCAGCGAAGTCGCGACTAACGGAAAGCGTAAAAGACTAGAGCGTAGCAATGGGGTACGGAAGCAATGCGATGACTCACACGACGTCGCGCTTGCCATGAGCTTGCTCCTCTACGGCCAGCGCGACAGTATACCCAAGTCTAGTCGAGCCCGGCGATTTTTGATGCCCGAGTTTCGCGAATCAGTAGCCGAGCAGCTGAATGAGTTACTATTGATGTCTAACGATGACGCGAAGACAGCACCGCGAGCGTCAGCGCTTGAAAAGTATATGGCAGACCACGAAAAATTACGGAAAGAGTGTCTGAACCGAGGTTGTCGTGTATATCCGGAAAGCAGCGGCGATAGCGTAAGCAAGAACATGTTGCGTCGACGGAGAGCCTCAGTATCTTCCACTTTGGACAAGTTTTCGTCATCGTCAAGTGAACAGGACGATCATTCAGCTGGTGATGATAATGATGATGACGACGACGACGATGACGAGTAGAGGGTTGAGATTGTCAGCATCCTGAGGAGCTTGGATATTGGCGAAGGAATAGAATGAGATTCGTGCGCTTTTCATGACATGCAGATATTGAGCAAAGTGCATGCGATTACTATGCATCCACTGGACAGTATGCAACGATGGATGTTACTTTCGCCATTTCGGATCGAATAGACCTGTCTCAATTTGGTGAAGAAGTGCTACGGCTACGAATGAATGCCAGTCGGCTTGATGCAGTTACCTACCCCACGCGATTCTAGAACATGAGCAGAAGTATTTGCGAAGAACGAACTACTCCCTACGGGTCTGTGGCAACTAGATTTCCCAGTACGCTTATCAGAGGGGTCGTCGTTTGTCAACCTTTCGGGTTCGGGTGATTGAAGCCACGAAGTGATTGTAGGAGATAACGCGCAAGCAAAAAGCCTCTTGGTAGCGCCAAAAGCAGTGACAAGACCTGAGGCTACGTAAGAAGTATAGAAAGTCTAGAATGGAAGACCAGCGGTGTGCCGTCCATAGCGTGTGTCATCGATACCAAAGTCATCATAGAAGCCATTGCTACAGCCTCGTGGATTTGCCACGTCGTGCGAGGAATCATCCGACGGCGCGACATGTATTGTATGCTGAGTCGTGACAATGTCGAGTGCTGCCTCTTTGCGTCGCTCGATTAGACGCGTAGCTCATCGAAGTTACTGATACGACGCGAGAAAGCCGCAAATAGACTCGAACGAATTTCGGAGCTACAGTCGGAAGGGGAAGTCGTGGACATTGACAGCTAATCTGCTGGTCCAGGTGACAATCGTGCTGCCGGACAATGAAAAGGTCTCATGCACCGTTGTTGCTTCAATGCAGCGAAGCACGAGACCTCCAACAATACCAGACCACTAGTTCCGACAAAGACAGCAGAACATCCATATGCTCACAAGTCCCTTGCGGGCAGCAAGAACGTGCAAGTGACGATCACGTTTGGATGTCGCAATACCGGGGCTCGATGATGGCACAGTCAAATTTGGGGATCGCAGATCTTCGTCCACTAACCGAAGCAGTTACTGCTGATCAACAACGATGACTTTTGACGACGCATCGTGCACTGTATCACAAGTATCTTCGTCGCTCTAGCTGATCTGTCCTCGTGCGCAAAGTTTCATGACATATGTTACACTACGAGCCATGGAGTTCTCGTTCTTTCGATAAAAAGATGCCTCGACTTCACACAGCCAAACAATGAACCAGGAAAACGCCTCACAGACTTATCTCAGTGATATCCTGCGACACATACACGTACAAACACACACACACACAAACGGCTCCCATGTTATTGTCATGGCAACGTGGTGCAAGTAAGAACCAAAGACCCGTATGTCACATCTGTGCAGCTCAATGTAGCCATGTTGTACGAAAGAGTACGTTTTTTGCTCTTGGTGTTCGAGTTTTGTTGACGTTTGTCGTTCGCTGCAGAGGATATCTGTCATTGGCTCAGCCCGCTCTGCTTGTTCGTCTATTTCATCCAATCAAAACGCGAGCGTCTTCTGCCAGTCATTCGAAGAGCTCTGCAAGCCCTTCGAGGCCGAGTGACGAGCATGGGACTTCCGCGTAAGGGAAGCGACAAGAAGAAGAAGGGCAGTCGCAAGCGGAAGGCCAATGTATGGGACGATGCCGAGCCGAAGGACAAGCGCGACGACCCATCGCGTGCAACGGACGCCCCAAAGCGGCGCATCAGTCGGTCCAAAGGGTCGATGATGAGTCAGTGGCAGACGCAAAAGGTTACGGAGCGCGCTAAAGAGCGCAAGTTCTTTGCTTCGGTGGAGGAAAAGAAGCGCTGGCAACGAGAGCACTATGAGGAGACGCGCGCGCGCACGTTCAATGCAATGTACAAGTCAAAAGACGTGGTCGAAGCCAAAGGTGCGGCGGTGAAGGACAAGAGTGGAGAGAGTGGGAGCAGTGAGGAGAATGACGAGGAGGAGGAGGAGGAGGAGGAAGACGAAGGACTTTTGGACGGGACGACAAAGTCGACGCTGTTTGATGAGTTTGTGAATACGTTCAAGAAAGACGCTACTGATGCAGAAGAGGAGGCCGAGTATGATGACGAGGTAGTGGTCGATGGGAATGGAGAGGACGTTGAAGGAGAAGAAGAGGTGACGGAAGAAGAAGATGGAGAAGATGGAGAGAAGGAGATAGAGCGTCCAGAGTGCGTTGCTGCAGTGAAGGAGGAGATTGAAAAGCAGATTGCTGCAATGGCAAAAGACGACGAAGAAGCGGTGGAAGAGGTGTACGAAGAGGAACAAGAAGATCCGTACCGACGAAGGTATCTTTTGAGCTCTTTCTCCGAGCAAGATGCAAAGCAGTTTGATGCCATGAGCAGAAAGTTTACAAAGGTTGAGCTTCCGACAGTGGAAAGTGAGGTGTACGACGTCACGTACAGGAACGGCGCTGACGCAGACATAAAGGGCGTCGCTGGTGTTGTGACAACTCCCGACGTGGCTGTGAAGAAGAAGCCGTATGTGCGCTCGAGACTGGCGGTGACGTGGAAACAGCGTGGAGTGGACGTGGAGACTTTGTTTGCCAAACGATCGGTTGAGCGCACGCTCTTCCAGCTGATGTCAGCATACACGGACGTGTTTTTCGCTGGTCAGACGTACGAAAACACGGCGACGTTGCGGCGATTGAGTGCAATGCACGTGCTGAATCATGTCCTCAAAGCTCGCGATACCGTCACGCGGAACAACGAACGTATCAAAAAGCATGAGGCTGGAAAGGCGGACGAGGAGGAGGACAGAGAGTATCGTGATCAAGGGTTCTGTCGTGCGAGTGTGCTGGTTTTGCTGCCTCTTCGTAGTGCTGCCGTGGCGTTTGTAGACCAATTGCTTCGGCTTCTGCCAGCCAATATGGATACTTTCCACAACAAGGACCGCTTCTTCAGCGAGTATGGAAGTCCAAAGGGCAAAGAAGAGGACGCGGTCGAGGATGATGGTTTGAAAGAATGGCAGCGTGTGTTCGACGAGGGCAACAATGATGACTGTTTTCAGCTGGGCGTGTCCTTCTCGCGCAAGGCAGTGCGCTTCTACAGCGAGTATCACCACGCCGACATTATCATTGCTTCGCCACTTGGACTGCGTCAGCAGCTTGGAGACGAAGTCGCTGTACTTGATGACGCTGAGACCAGTGCTGACGCAAAACTTTCGAGCGACTTTTTGTCCACGATTGAGGTTTGCATCGTAGACTCGGCAAGTCTTATGATGATGCAGAACCTCGAGCACCTGCGGACTGTGCTGCGTGCTGCAAACATGCAGCCAAAGGAAGCTCCGAATGCAGACTTTGCTCGCGTGCGTGAATGGAACTTGGCGTTTTTGGCGTCGTACTTTCGCCAAACAGTCGTGTTCAGTCATGGCGTGGAGCCCGCTCTCAATGCGCTGATGAACAAGACGTGTCGTAACTTGTCCGGTGTCGTTAAGTTTGTCCGTCGTTATGATGCAGCGGATGGTACCGCTTCTATCTCGCGGGTAGTACCGCAGGTGAAGCAGATTTTCCAGCGTGTGGATCTGGAATATAGCCAGCGCTTGACTGCTGCAGATGAAGTGGATCTGCGCTTCAATTACTTCAAGAAGCACGTGTTTGAGCCACTGCTCGACCGCCCTCGGAAGAATGTGCTGATCTTTATTCCGTCCTACTTCGACTACGTGCGTGTGCGCAACCTGTTCAACGATACGATGAACAAGAAGTTGATTCGAAGTGTGCAGTGCTGTGAGTACACGACGAACAAGCAGGTGTCTCGTGCCCGCACGGCGTTCTTTCACGGCCATTGTCATGTGATGCTCTACACGGAACGTTTCCACTTTTATCACCAGTACCAGATTCGAGGGGTGCGTCAGCTCATTTGGTACGGACTGCCTGTAATGGGAGACTTTTACGCCGAGATGATGAACATGCTGCCGAGCAGCGATACGACGCGACACAGTGATGATCGATTTGCCGATCCTACAGATGGCAAGTCGTCCATTGCTCTCTTCTCGCGTCTCGACCTGTTGCGATTGCAACGAATTGTCGGTAACAAGCGAGCCGAGCACATGTGTCGACCCAAGGCTGCGAAGCCTACGTTCCTGTTCTGCTAGCGATACTCGCAAGGGCTTTTGTTGGTGTTTGCGATCTACTCGTGGCTGACATTTCTTGTGGGTCATGCACGTACGGCATAGACTGTATACGTATCGCGGCATTTTGTAGGATCGAGCAACTTGCGATTAGATAGACGCACAAAGTAAGCGACAAGCCATGATTTAGACAAGACTACTGCCCTTAGAATGGCAGTAACAACACTGCCCGCTACGTTCATACTAATTTTGCAGCTCGAATTAATGTGATATGAGACCGTTGCTGAACCTGACTTCTGCTATTGTTGCGAAGGTGACCGCATGTTGAACGGAAGCAATACGTGACAAGCAAGTGCCGCAACATTCGATCCAAGGCATTTCGTTGGCATGAGCATGATCCGTTGCTTGATCTACGTGGATACACTCTGGTCAAATTGCTACGCTTAACAATTGCCCATAAAGGTGCTTTGAGTGGTGCGAGGCTAAGGGGATGCGAGGAAAAAGCATTGAAGTTGGAAGTGCGTGCTGCATCGCTTGTACTTCCGTGCACAAGTGATACAGTTGATGGAAGCACGCTTGACAATAGCAGACGCAAAGTTTGGACTTTATAATGTCCATCTTGTCAAAGCAATACGGTACTTGTCGAAGGTACTTGACATCGACGTGCTGTATGTTGTCAGCACTGTTTCGTTCGGTGTATACATGTGCCACAAAGAAGACGAGTGTCGAATGTAATTTGCCGATGCAGGAAATGTTTGCACGCTGCGCTCATTCCGATGTGGCGTCAACAACCCACTTTGGATCTCATCGTATGAGCCATTGCGACTGATTCGATGACTATGGTATTGAGGTGTTGGACTGATGGCGGCAAGTTTGTAGTAATGAAAACTTACATTGCGTTAGCAATCAGAGGTGCTACAGCTTTGACAAAAAAGTCATCGGATGCTTTTCGTCTGTGCCGATCATAAGCATAACAGCGGTCTTGGCTGTAAAGTAGCACATCATCGATTACGAATTGCCAGGTGCGTGATAATGCTTTTCTGCAATGATCGAGGGCAAAGGATTGCCAATCCTCGAACGAACGCCGATCAGTTGACTAACGACTCAGTCACGATGAACTACCACCATTTCCAGTTTAATGGACATTGCGATGTCTACACTATGATCTCAGAAACGTCACAACGATCAGCGCCACTCTTCTGTGTCCGCTCTGTCCGATAACGTTTTACAGATTGCAAGTTTTGGACTGCAAACGTCTGCTGATGGTCCAGACAGTCAACACTGGCAACAGATGCTAACAAACGAACAATATTGAAGCAACAGGCTTCATATTGGGTGTACAGGTTTGGCAGGAGACACACATACGGCAACGGTTTATTGACGATTAGTAGTGTATTTGATAAGTCAATTGCAGGAATCGATTTGAAATAGTAAGTGTAGGCGTGCCCATGCACGTGAGCGTGGTAGCAACAGAGTTCGTCGCATTTTCGTGCGGTTGATAAATAATCGAGTGGACTGATAGTTAGATCCATCGATATCCTGTTGTACATACATGTGTCTGATAGTGCACATTCACAATGCTTCTTGCGTCAACGAATTGGCTTGGCTTGGCTTGTCTTGACTTGATGGGTGCACAGTGCTCTGCACTGTGCGACTTGAACCAGGTATAAAAACTCTGGACAGTTTGTTGGAGGTTCAGTCGCGTGCAGCGTGATACAGTACACATGTAGTTGCTGAAGTTGATGTAATCGATTTGGTAATTCAGACGCAGCAGCTTTCTCATGCAAGAAGCTCTGTTCGCACCAATTGAGCGATACTAGACCATTATGCTTTTGTCTTGTCTTGAGACGCAAGATATTGTTCCTGTACGCTTGCTCTGATGTGAAGAGATGAGCCCGTACGAACTAAGTGTCCGTGTTACGCTTATTTGTTCGATCTCCTTGCAGATATGTTACTTTGTCAAGCAGCACCGCCATGCATCTAGAATGTTTTCCATTCCTCGAAGCTTACTTAGATCCCGCATCGCTTCCTTGACGTTCAATTTGTCTCCCTAAGCTTGCATCTTACAACAAGCAACGTTAAACTAAGTCCTTAGTGGATGCGTCAGAACGATTATGTATCCTCTACGAGTCCATTGTGCGACCGTCGCAGCGAACTTCACATGGCTGATGCGATGAAGATGCCACTTGCTCTGGCTCGAATGCAGAGCACGGATCATCATAGTGTGAGATGCTGATCGATGAAAAGACGACAACTTTGTACATTACTGAAGTCAATCCAAACGTGGATGAAAAAAGATGTCAGTCGAGACGCCCCCTGTATCCGTAAACCGAATCGACAATCGGACCGACAATACTGAAAGCGTAGTGATGTCATGTCTGTGCGTACCTGTCAAGCCTTGTATTCTTGTGCCCATTGGGTAAAGTCAGCCACGCATCTCACTTCATCTCTTGTGGACAACCAAACACAACAATTAACTTGTGTCCTACTTTCGCGCCTCATCAACGAATGGATGAACCTGTCTATTTGATGTCTAAATTACCTTACTTGCCAACTACGGGTCTACCTATGCGTAGCTCACCACCCCAAGCGTCTGCAAGCTTTGCATGAATCTATGTCTGACAACAGCTTTTGCAGCTTGGAGGATTCTGCGGGTGACTCGGAGTCGCACAGAATCACCTTGAGGCGATTGGTATGACTGCGGACGTTATTACGATATCCAGCTGCCGAACAATCGTGCAATCCACGACTTCTTACCACCATCAGCCTCACCGCCACAACCACTTTGACCACCAAGTTCAGTCGCTTTGTCATCAGCCTTCGCACCCGCTGTCTTCACAGATGCTGTCGACTCGGGTGTACGTCGTTCCAGCTGACCGTTTTTCCAGTTGTTTCGCTGAGGATCACGGCTACCGTTTTGCTGCTTTCTTTGGAACCGGGACCTGTCAAACGGACCGCGTTGAGGAGCGTTGGCGACACCGGGAGACCACCGCGTTTTTATCTCATCGCGACTGTAGGTCGTGTTCACAAGCCCTAGCTCCACAAGCTCCAGCACGCGTGTCTTTAACTCGAGCGCCAAATCGTTTTCGACAAAAGTGTCGCTGAAGCGGAAAGACAACCACAAGTACAAGTCAATGATCTTGGCCTTGATCTCAACGTCACCCAGCGCCTCAGCAGTGCGGGGTGGGTACTTTGGTAAGTAGATATCCAGCTTGACGCTCTGCCCCAACGAGTGAGCGCGGGCGTACTCGAGGAAAACCTTCCGGGCTAATGCATTTCGCAAGCTCACAGGAGCCATGCAGAATGTAAACCGATCAGATAGCGACAACTCTGCGTCGCGCAGCAGCGTTGCGGCATCTTTCATGTCCTGGTGATTGCACATAAAGTAGTCACCGTCCAGACGCGCCAACATCACGTACTTGTCCACGAGGTCAGCGAGATCTCCGATTCCCGGCAACTGCTTGGCAAACTCTTCCATCTGATCGGAAGACGGAAACAAACCTGCAGACGTGAGCGGCGTGGGCACTTCAGAGTACGACTCTCTCAGGTACTCCAAATCTTCTTTCAGCAGACACGTCGCCTCACCAGTCGCATAGTCACTGCCGTACCGACCTGCTCGTCCAGCAATCTGTTTCGCTAGAGAAGGTGAAATGTCAATCATGCCGCCGCTGTTGCCTGAATACTTCTTCACGGTCGCAAACACAATGCGCTTGATGTTCAAGTTCAGTCCCATTCCGATTGCGTCCGAAGCGACCAGAATGTTGTAATCATTGCCACGTTCATTGAACAAACGGGCTTGCTGAGACCGCGTCTCAGGGGGTAGCTGGCCGTAGATGATGCAGCACTTTTCCCCAGTCTTGATCTCAATGTCACGCTTGATCTGGAAGATATCACGACGTGAAAACGCCACGACACAGTCTCCAGGACGAATCTCGCTATAACTGTCCAAATGCGTTGGCGAAATCTCTAGCGGCGAACGGCGCTCGTACGAACGCAGCTCAAACTCGTCGCCTGAAGTCTCGGCAAACTTCTTGACGAGGTGGACAGCTTCACCTGACCCACACACGTGGATCTCGTTGGCTTGCAGTCCAAAAAGCGCACGCGTCCACGCCCACCCACGTTGTGGATCTCCAATCAACTGGATCTCATCAATCACAGCGACATCCCACGGCCGATTGATGTTTGCCATCTCCACAGTGCACGCCACGTGGGTCGAGTGCGGCATGATTTTCTTCTCCTGTCCAGTCACAAGTGACGTATACAGCCCGTCATTGTTCAGCCGTTCAAAAATTTCAAGAGCCAGGAGCCGCAACGGGCCACAGTAGATCCCGCCGTCTTCTCCCGCTCGTTTCAGCCGCTCGAGCGCTTCGTACGTCTTTCCACTATTTGTCGGTCCTTCATGGTACACAATCTTCCGCTTCATTGCTGTTGCAAACGGGTACATCTCATGCGGCAAGCGCAAATCCGTCAGCTGCTGAAGCGATAGGGCGTTTGCATCATCTTCAGCCGTCGGCAAGTACCGATTTGCCTTGGCAAAGTCCAGAAAAAAAGGATAAAAAATAAACGAATTGTGGCGCTTGACATCGTCCATGTCCTGCAAGACCAGACACCCACCCAAACATACATAAACACAAACAAACAAACAAACAAACAAACAAACAAACCAACAAAAATAATAAGAGTCACGTTGTTGGACAACAACACAACAAAGTCTCACATAACGCGCAAATAATAAAGAATGAAATCAACATATATACATATCTAATGCATCACACAGCAGTAAAAACAAATGGACAACAATAACCATATACAGCACGCCCAACAGCACCCGTGCGACATTACCCGTCCAAATGCCAGTAGCTCTGCCTGGTCTTCAAAATACTCGGACGGCTTGGACAGAAACGACTGGCGGAACGTCGAGGCCGCAACAGTCCACTCGGCCGCGTTCATGCCGGCCTCCACGACCAGCGCTTTGACTTCGTAATTGCGTGGGAAGTTGCGCATGCGACGGTGCACGCGCTTGGCCAGTTCAGAAGGCCACGTGACTGTGGACGATAGCGCTATTGCGTCTTTGCTGGTCGCTGTGGCGGTTGAGACTGAGAAGGTCCGTGGTGGGGGTACACTGGGGGGTACGTTCGCGGACGGCAGGCGTACCCTGGACGAGGCACACGCGGGAGGCCACGACGCAGAAGCGATCGACGAGGACACGGGAAGCAGATGGAGTCGGCGGCAGATGCGGCGACGGACGTGCGGCGCGTGGGGACGCAGCAGCGCCTGCCGAGCGACGTGCAGCATACTCGACCGACTGGACGGCTCGTGGCCAGTCAACGCGTAACTGGGTTGGGAATATTCGTGTAGGGAGGTTTCGAGCGTCGATGACGTACGGTGTGTGGGAAACCGTTAAGTACGCAGACACGACGGCCGGTGAGGGTTTCAGTGCATGTAGACGAGTGGGTCCGTGAAAAAAACAGTGCGGTACTTTGTGTGGGCTGCAGCGGTGTTCCTCTCGACATACGTGTTTTCGTGTCTTGCAAAGCTGGTGGAACGTCTGTGGCGGATATTCCTTGTGCAATTTTCGATGTCTTTCGTGTGTGGTTTGCTTATTGCTGTAGATGAGAAACGGTGAGGCAGTTGGTGATGCTGGATGCACTATGATTGCAAGTCAGTGCCTGCCGGTAGCACGACATAAACACTGTCAAGCTGGATTGTTCATGCAGTCGTGGAAAGTCCGGACGTAGGTGAGCTGCTAGTACGGGGATGCGTTCGAGAAGTTAACGGAAAACGTCGCCGCTGGACAAGACACTTCGACTGCGTGAATGCCATTGTTCCAAGCGAGGGCACACATGGAGCCCATGGGTCACGTCATTAACCCGGTCATCGCACAAGTTGGTGCTTTTGCCACGCGAACGAGTCGTTGCAATGGACACGTGTGTACAGACGACGCCCTACGTGTTGTGTGGGCATAGACTTTTGGCACCAAAAGCGTACGCTCGTCCCATTCCTCTGCCATAGATATCCATCGATCAGTACGCTTGCACGTGGTGTAAGCACTTTGACGTTGTCAAACATTGTACCTTTCTTGCTGACTGTGTGTGCTGATCCAGTCCCTGCTCTCTGAACATGCTTTGACATGCAGTTCACTTGTTATACAGCATAGAGTAGCTCGGCGACCGCCTTTTTTCAGCTCAGCTCGGTCCTGTGGACATGATAGAGTCAGTCGCATCAAAGCACGTGTATGTATGTACCTCTACCTGCGCAAATGTCTGGCACCCGGCTTCTCTCGTGCTGACTTCGTTTGGAGTCACATTGGCCAATGTAGTACAAGAGTTTTGCTCGGGTTGTCACGGCCACTGCGTCCGTCAACTGATCATATTTCACTCTTAACGATGATTGTGCGCGCGTGAGCAACAGGTTGCAGCTACACGCTAATGTGCTCACTATATGGTGACATGCTTTGACCGCCTGCATCGAAAGAGCTATCGACTTGTCAATTGACGAACGACATTGCTGTCGTCGTCAACGCGTATAATTGAATTCGCATGGATGCATCTTGTGATGTGCAGTAGTCCTTACCGGAAGTTGTCTACAAAAACACAATATCTAATGAAGATAGTCAGTGTTCGACCCAACGCTTGCAGCTATATGGCCTTGACCTTCTTCGAGGTACCTGTTTACCACCACAATGACACCTTCGACAAGACGGACAAGGCGTAGGGTCGCTTTTACGAGCTCAGGAGCCGCACCAAGTGCACGCTTCAACATCGAGCGTTGCACTTCGTCGTTGCCGGGTCAATTGTGTTTCGTAGCAGTGTTGCAGATCATGTAGCTGCAGCGCGTATCTGTCGAGTCACTTTCCAGTAAAAGAGTCAACTTAATACCATGAACTGCGTGCTTGAACTACTAGTAGACCACACGTCACGCATCCTCGCCCAAACATGCAAATTAACTACCATTGCACCAACAATTAATACGATTGACAGCGTTTGCAGGACGTGTTTTTTTGCAAAGGCTCATCGGTCTGTTCTAGTTGTTACACGCCCCTGCGTTGGTGCTAGTCCGTGTAAAGTCAAAGCTGTGGAAGAGCTAAACGTTGTTTGTGCGACGATGTAGGCCGATGTGCGTGCTTCTGTAGCTCTTGCTGATCGCTTTAGTTTGTATGGGTAGACATAGCTGTGGCGTCACGCGAGTGTTTGTTATTGCAATACAACGACGTCCATCAGATTCCTACACGTCTCATACATCTCTTGCACATGTGACGATACGTAGCTACTATAAACAGTATGAAGGTAGAAGAGATGATACGATCAATGTGTGTGGCGTTTGACAAGAAGCTCGATTTGCACAACCTTCTCTTCTCAGCACCTGTCGGCTCTTTTGACATTAGCTCGGGCAAAGGCTATTGGATGTGTAGCACGCTCCTCATACGCCAACTTTGTCCGTTTCTTAGCGCTATGTAAGTGTCAGGATTGTACAAAACACTGTGTCTGAGCATGATCATGTCGATGCCGCATGCAGGAGTTGCCAGTATAATCAAGTTGGTCGAAGCAGTCTGTCGATATGTGCGCCCGCTTCTTGCTCCCTAGCGCTCGTGCAATGTTACCGCAATGAAGTTCTAGTACAGGCAGTACGCTAGAGACACTGTCTGCTTCGCTCTCAGACTGTGCTAATCGGTTTGGAGCGCCATGCTATAAACGAACATCGAATCGATGGGACTCGCAGTAGCGAAGGTTGACGGATCGGTGGGTTCTAGTTCATGAGGCCAGGCAATCTGCGATGTACAGGTAAAAGGAGATGTTCACGAGGACTGCTGGACGCAATGTAAGCAGCTACATATTTCACTCGTTGTCGGCTTTTGTTGTGAAACAACGTGATGGTGGATGGAGGAGCGACCACACACGGTCCAAGCACAACGAACTATGCAGCTCATAGAATAGCGACGGTCCTGGACCACTAAACGTACAAATTGATGTCTTTACAAGTAAGTGTCAAGCTCAAGAACTGCGTCGCTTCTATCCACCTGCTACAATTGGAACACTGACAGGTTGAAGCGGTCCTCCTGCTGAGCTCTGACGCTAGCGGACATTGACGTTCCGTGATTTGCTCATACCATGTGCCACTGCTTAACTTAGCGGTCAACACTTGTCAAAGCTGCTCGATCAACAAGAGGTCTTATGCAGGTTCAAGTGCGCTGAATGGGACTGAGTTGCACACGTATACGCTGACACGTACAAGTGTTTAGGAACGACTCTGTCGTCGTGGCGACTGTCATGGCCAAGGAAATCAATCAACACACTCTTTCGACTCGGTGATTGCATCGACTTCTCTCTGACTTTATTCAACTTGACAACTTGGGTGGGCTCTTGTTATAGCCTGTATCTTCGCAGTCAATGTTATGACGCGCTACTTCAGCTTTTACATCCCCATAGTCACACACTTTTACATGCTCCAGTAGCATACGAGTTCAACTGAGACAACACGTTCCTCACTTAGGCAAGAAATATGAACAGTGATACGTGAGGACAAGTACGTTGCGATGTCTTCACAGACTGTTACGACTGAAGTACCCGCCCATCGATGTCGTCGATAGCGTGCTCTATGCTGCACGTACGTAAAAATAGCCCCCGAGTCCGAGAGCCACCACTTTGTGTGTACACACTTTTTGATCGTCGCGGCGTGCACTGACAAAACGTGCAGAGCACCATCAATTGATTGGGTGCAGCAAAAGTCGCTATTGCACTATATGTACATAAATGCATACATTTCGCCACCAAACCAAATCGAGCGACCAAACAACGACCAAACCTGCACGAGAGGCCCCAGTGTACCACACCAACGTTACGTACAAACGCCACCCCACCTGCGGCAGCACTTAACAACTACTTTGCGCTTATTCACACCACGAACGCACTGGTTCCCTCCCCCTTTCGCAGCGACTTGTAGCGAACAAACGAACGGTGAGCAGCTCCTATCGAGAGCCACACGCGCCTCTCTCGACGCACTGCTCTCCACGTCCATCGTATCAGTACTCACTCATTTGCTGCTGTTGTTGTTGCTGCTGCTGTTGTTGTTGTTATTGCTGCGCGTCTGTGGTTGTCGCTACGCGTCGTTACCACCACCATTATTGCTACCATTATTGCTACCATTATTGCCACCATTATTGTTGTTATTGCCATTCTTATTGCCATTCTTATTGCCACTGTCGTCATGTTTGCTATCCGTATTGTCATTATTGTGATTGACACTATCGTGATTATTTTCATGATCGTTAACATTCTGTTGTCTCTTGATCTTGTCGCTGGTGCTCTTGGTACTACAACGAATATGGCTCTGCTTCTTCTTCTGCCTGTGCTGTCTTTAGATGCTGTCCTCGACGATGAAGAGCTCCGTGCGCAAGACGGCGTCGGCTGTGGCTCCTGCAAGTCGCAGTGTCGCGACGAAGACGGGCGGCGCTGCTGCTGCCTCGTCGACCAAAGACGTTGAAGCCATTGGCAGCTTTGGGCAGATGACGCAGCCCAAGCTGCAGCTCTTTGGTCTGCACGCGCGCTACGCAAACGCGCTCTACAGTGTGGCCGCCAAGCAGAACCAGCTCGAGTCGGTGGAGAAGGAGCTCTTGAGCATTGAAGACACGATCGCGAAAGAGCCGCACTTTGCCTCGTTCCTGCACGACCCGACGATCGCGCGGGCGAGCAAGAAGGAGGACATTGCCAAGGTCATGGAGCAAGCCAAGTTCTCCAAGCCGGTGGCTGGTCTGTTTGAAGTGCTGGCGGACAATGGCCGGCTGCCCGATGTCGCGGGCGTCATTGGCGCGTACAAGAAGCTCATGGGCGCGTACCGCCAAGAAGTGCAGGCCAAGGTCACGTCAGCGGACCCGCTGACCAAGACACAGCTCGAGTTGGTGAAGAAAGCGCTTGCAGCGCGTGTGGAAAAGAACGAGACACTGCTGCTGGAGACGGCGGTGGACCCGGAGATCTTGGGCGGACTGAAAGTGCAGATTGGCAACTACTTTATCGACTTGTCGCTGGCCACCAAGATCGACAAGATCAATTCGTTGCTCGCGTCATCGAGTCAGCAGTAACAGTGCCAACCAGGTTGATCGACGGTCGAGCGAGCGAGCTGCAGACACGAAGACATTACTGTGGGGCGTCTGGAAGGACACAGTCGACCGCTGTTGGTTTCGCAGTTGCGTAGCGATCGAGTGTTCTCGTGGATGTGTGCGTCGAGCAGCCGAGCGAGAGCGTGAGGGGGTTTTCGTGTGGAGGAGGAACCAAACATGGGAATAAAAGAGCTTTGGTGCTCAACTGCTCTGTTTAATGTCGCAGTATCGCTTCGTGAAGTTTGGGCTGTGTTCTGCAGGAGAGAGAGAGAGAGAGCGACGAGACGGACGTCAGTAGGAGCCAAACACTCTTTTAGTATATTGTGGCAGCCGAAACACTATACAACGAAGTGCTCTTGTTGACAGACAATCATCGACGCTACTGAAAAGGTGCACACACGAGAGTATAGCAACTCCATTCGCTGGCCTGGCCCCTGTGAATAAAAAACGTGCTTAGCTACTGATGCATCCAAGCAATCGGTCCCTCGGCGGCATAACGATCACGTCGCCTCTGTCCTGCTGGTTGCTCGTTTCGGTTCGGTCCGGTGCTGCTGCTGCACTCGGGCCCGTCCGTTTGGCCCACTCGGCCGATCCGAACACGCTGCTGCTGCGATCACCATGAATGACCTAGCAACAGCCGTTCTTGGACGACTTGTTGCCATTGCCGTGTGCTTGGCTGAGGATGACCGAGTTGTTTTGGCTATCGTGGCCGAATGCGCTCGCTCCGGTGGCGTTTCCTGCTCGCGATACATTGCGACCTCGTGCGCGCTGCTCTTGATCGTGTTTCTTCAGCAGCTGCACTGCTAAACTCTCAAACAGCGCCTGTACGCCTTCACCCGTCTTGGCACTCGTGCGAAACACTCGAGCGCCAATCTTGTCGGCAAACGCCTGTGCTTTCCGAAAGTCAAAACTCGACGGCACGTCGCTCTTGTTGCCCACGACTGCTAGCACAATGTCGTCGTCCACGTAATGCTGCAAATCTGACCAGTCGTACCCCGACAAACAAGCGTCCGCAGCCGCAATAGCCATCGACGTCCATCCCAGCAACAACAACAACAACAACAACAACACCACCAACAACAGTAGCAATAGAATAGTAACAGGCGTACGTACCCCCAACCGTAGCAGCAACCCAATCAACAATCGTTGACACGACCAACAAACAATGCCGATCAAATTTAGAAACGCACACCGCCCACAATCAGCCATTTAGAAACGACGACACAGCCACACAGACACACAAACAGCCACACACAGACACACAAATCATGAGCGCCCCGCCCCTTCCATACCATACGACGACAAAAAACACACCAAATAAGATAATATATATAAACAAAGACACACACAAAGACACAAACACACAAAGACACACACAAAGACACCCACACACACACACACAGCGCGCGCCGCCGCCCTGCGTCCGTACCGTGCAGCCACTCTTGAATCTTCTCGAAACTCGCTTCGCTCTGCAGGTCAAACACGAGGATCGCGGCCTTTGCGTTGCGGTAGTAGAGCGGCGCCATGGACCGGAAGCGCTCTTGGCCCGCCGTGTCCCATATCTGGAGCGTCAGTTTCCGTCGCGCGTCGCTCGTGGCCGCGTCGTCGGGTTGCGCGTCGTCGTTGACAATGACTCGTTTCTGGAGGAACGACGCGCCAATGGTCGCGGACGTGGGCGTCGAGAAGCTGCCGTGGCAATAGCGCATGGTGATGGACGTCTTGCCCACGTCCGTGGGGCCGATGATGACCAACTTGCGGTCGAGGCCGACGTCGTCCATCGTAAGGGATTGGGACTGACGGAGTGCGTGTGCGTGTGTGTATATATGTGTATTTGTTGGCACTGGGTGTGTTTTGGGTGGCGTATTGTTTCGTTTTTGGTCACGTTGCTTTGTTTTTGTGCATTTGGTCGGGGGGGGGGGGCGTGACGGCAGTGGCTATATTTAGTCCGTTGGGTGGTTTCGCTGTTCGCATTAGCGAGTTCGACGTGTTTTCGTTTCTAAGTCGAAGCGTTGACGTCTTTTAAAGTGGTACTGCACTATATGCTTTTTGGTGGGGCAAACGGTGCGGACGAAAAAGAAGGCAGAGGAGAAGGGGATGCGTGCGGGTCGAGGCGGTACAGTGTACCATGTGGCAGCAGGTGATTTGGAGAGCAGCGAAACGGTTTGTGGAACGTGGTTAGAGCCCGTTTAGAAACGTCGATAGAGTTAGTGGACATGCCATTAGGTCGTTGACAACAACGACGTGTTGTAACGGGTGAAAAAAAGAGAGATGGAAGCAGTGCATGACACTGTGTCGAGTGTGGTGCATATGTGACAGTGACACGATACATCGCACTTCGATGCGTTCCGTGTCCTTTTCGTAGTGAACGAAAGTCAGTAGATTGAATATCTCGGTGAGCGGACTGCGTGTACTAAGATCAACAACGTGAAGTGGCCTGCAATAACGACCAAAGTCGTGTGGGCATCACGCAGTAGGATACAATCAGCTGGTGGAGCTTTACAATGCACTTTAGGAAAGAGTAGAGGCCAATAGCGTCACGAGTGAGCTCGAAAGTACCTGATGGAGACGTTAGTGGATCAGAAGACTGCTCAGCCTGCAACATGTGCTGCCTTCCTCCTAGGGCGACGTTGAACACGGCGTCCACATTGGTCGACATGACGACACTGGCTACGCTTCCTCGAGGTGTACATCCATAGTGAATGATCCCATCTTGGCTTGTTTCTGCCTGCACCTCCATCGGATCCCAATCTTATCGTCAACTGGCATACTGCGCTAGTTTACGCATACCGTCACTCGAATCGCTACGCCATACTTTGTAGACTATCGATAAAGTTTGACGACGTTGTGCTGTGTCACTCATGTCTGAGATTCACAGCCTTAGCCTCGCAGCAAAGCTTTTTCATCCGGCGTCAAATGATTGTTCTCCAATGCGTGCATTGATACAGACGCTTCATGCAGTACGTTGCACGGAACGTTGGGCTTTGTAGTAACGAAGAGAGGCTCAGATCATTTCGAGATAGCGAAGAAGTGACGTTCGTATAAGTACACGTTGTTGTTGTTGTTGTGCACAACAACGACAAGCAATTGTTTACCACTGTTTCCTGTGCTCTTGGACCTAAATGACTAATAACTGAACGTGGCGTCGCATAGCGTTTATCGCTACGAAATTGAGCGCTTAGATGCTCTTTGGACGACTTATGGCAATGTACTGTAAACACGATAGCGGATACGATGCGAACGCAGCTTTTGAATGCTTTCGTCAGTCAGATAACTCGATGGCGATCCAGTGCCCTACAGTGTAATGTCAACTGAACTACTACTCGCTCTCCTTGTGATACCATGTTTTGTTTATCCTATGACTTTTACGTGCCATTTTCTCGATAGCAGCAAAGCTGTGTCGTCTTACCAGTCACACGTCGATACGTCGTTCCAAGCAAATCGAGTATCGACCTTACATACCTCCTAACAGTGTCGTACTGTGTGTGAATAAACACTGCAGCAAACATACACAGCATATCGCGAGAATCTCTTCGTGAAAAAACGACACAGTCCACTACGGGCTGACAGTCCACTCATACCATCCATCCAATCATTCAACACGCGTACATACTGAGCGGTACTGGAGGGACACCACTGCCATACGACCACATGTTTCGTCCATCCGACGCAGCGAAAAGTCACTGCAGCTACACTCCCGGCGTGATAGCAGCAGCAAACAGCGACGGGTACTCCGCAGCCGCATGCTCACTCTTGATCGCATGTTCACGAATCACAGCCGCTAGGACTTCACGACGCGTCAAGATACCATGTTGCGCTTCAATCTCGCGCAGCTGACGTTCCATTATCGCACAAAGCAGCAATTCGTCGTCGATCGCCGAGCCTGCAAGAACGGGAGGGGCTGTTGCATGAACCAGTCGCTGGCGGGCAACAGGGTCGACAACTGGATTCAGAGACGGGTACGTCTTTGCGTACATTTTTCTTGTCCTTCTTCTCGTTCGTGCGGCGCAAGTCGCAGCACAACAACGACGGAACTTTGCAAGTAAACGGAAGCGAAGACGTAACAACGGACACAGCGTGAGCAGCTACGGCAGACAGCACATGCGACGGGGCACAACAGTTGGAACATTGAAGCGATGAGATGCGTACAGTACATACATACATACATACATACATCCATACATTAAATATCGATGACGTACCCAATGGACGTACCCAATGGGCGTACCCAATGGGCGTACCCAATGGACCCATCTTTCGGCTGCCTTACCCTGACTTGACCGTGTAACCCGAGACAATTGTGACTCAACACATGAAGACACAACACTCGTCCAATCGTGCTTGTTGTATTGTTGTGCTTCTTCTTCCTCTTCCTCGATACTAAAATAAAAAACGCCATTCTCTGTGTCGTCCTCGACATCCAAAACATCACGACCACCACCACCACCACCACCACCACCACCGTCTCCATTGTCAGCCACCGGGTCCAATGGCAATGGTCGACTCTCTCCTCTCCTCTCACTCTCTACTCGTTTCTCGCCTCCTCAAACACCGCCACTTGACGCGTCAACGTCACCAGTGCCCAGCCACGTGTTCTCACTTGTCCTCCCGCTTCCAGCCACTGACTGACTGACAGCCCATCAGCTCCAGATCGGCCACAAGACACATGAGGGCCAAACGCTTCTCTCCCAATGAACGCACAGAGCGACGACCGTTGAACCGCTAGTCACGAAGAGCTCACACAACACCTCCGCTTGCCTGTCGACCGAGCAACGAGTGGTTCCGGCGCTGTTCACTGTAACTCGGGTACACGGCATCACTGTCGTTGCTGACGGTTCGACTAAGCCCGTTTGTCGAGGGTGCCGCCAGGGGTACATTGTCCACCTGCTGCTGCGGGTACCCCACGGGTTTCGAAACCGAAAGTTGGGTACCGTACCCACTATTCGAGGGCACCATACTGTGGCCCGGCTGTAAATGCTGTGGGGTGGTGTACAGCGGCCCCGACGTGGCTTGTGATTGGGCAGGCGTCGGCGCCTGACCGTACGACGGATGGGCAACTGGCACTCCAAAGCCATTGAGCGATCCCGTGCGTACAAATTGCGTCTGCTGCTGCTGCTGCATCGTCCCGGGCGCGTCGGGATCGACACTTTGCTGCATCGCGACCACGAGGTCGCGCTCGTACTCTTTCCGGAAGTACCGAATCTTCTCGGCCCGCCCCGCAGAGCTCAAGTAGCCCGTGACCGAGAGGATAATGACCGACGCGAGGCAGACCCAGAAACTGTAGCCATAGAACCAGCAGTGCCACTTGGTGTTGTCGGCTTTGCAGCTCGTGTAGGCCGAGTTGATCGTGTCAATGCCGTACAGCGTCTGCTGCAGTAGGGCGCCCCAGATGACCAGCGACACGGCGAGGAGCAGAGCTGGCATGGCACGAAAAAAACAGACACAGGTGAGTAAAAAACATCGACTGCACGGCCTCAAAGAGAGACTGTACAAAACAGTAAAAAACAAGGACCATGTACGATCCATGTAAAAAACATACAAAAAACACATGAAAATACACAAAAACACAAAAGAACAAAAACACAAAAGCACAAAAACACACAAAAGAACAAAAAAGCACGCAATCGAACAGCACTTACAGCCTACGAGTGTGCAGAACGACACGACGCGTTCCATGTACCCAGCCGAGGGACTAAACACGGCGCCAATGGCCGTGAGTAGCCCCACGACGGACACTGCGGCCCCCGTTGCGGTCGTGGCTTGGGCGGCCATCATGCGCTTGCCGCACAGAACGTCGTGGAAGTCTGCCCCGTCTCCCAACATGTAGTTGGGCGTCGTGTAGTTCGTCACACAAAAGTCGGTGTACTGGAGCACTGTGGTCGACGCATAAAAGGGCGACTCGAGCGAGTCGGTCGAGTAAAAGGCAAAGAGACCGTAGCCCTGGTACACGTCGGTACCGCCGCGGCGGTAGTGTTGCTGGAACCACGCGGGGTACACCATGGCGTAGAACGCCGTGCCGACCGACACGAGCGAGAGCGCGACGGCTGTGCAACACAACAGCCACGTTTAAAACACAAGCGCGTAAAAAGCACGTTAGACACAGCGAGCGCGGGTTTAAATCAGCCGATCACAAGATCGAAAAATAGAGGGACATTGGTTTCGACAGGGTTTCGCGCGCCCTCGAGCGAGTGTACACGGCGCGAGATCGACCAGGACGTACCGAGGAGCGTGTTTTTCATAATCATTGCGGCAGAGAGAGGGGGCGTGGATGCGGCGGGGGTCGGACACAAAAGGAAAGGGAAACGAACGAGGGAACAGAAAAGGAAACGTTGCCGCGAACTGGCGCGCGTGCGTCGGGGTGCCGGCGTCTGCGAGAGTGGCAGCTTCGTGCCTTTGTGTGTTCTGGGAGTCTTATTGCCCTGCGACGCCACCACAGGAAAAAAAGTGATTTGTGTCAAGTGGGTCTAAACTGAGGGGACCAGAGTGATGGTCGGGTGGACTCTGGTCGACATATAGAGAAAAAAGTGTGAGAGGCCTTTGTTAGAGGGATTCGCAGCCACACTGACTGGATTTTTCGTCCATTGGTCCATCGAACGGACGCTGGCGGGGGAAAGGGGGTGGGGGGGGGGCGCACCATCCCGTGGCAGCGTATGCTGGGTGAATACTGAAACTGTCAAAAGAAGGGGGAAGTACGAAAGCGATAGCTGTGAGTGGCTGAGTGGGTACCCTGTTTTGGAAATGAGGCACCCAATGGTGCATGGGCCTCGATATTCGTCTCACCGCCTTTTGGTACTTGTTGTCTGTGTACACGTCAAGTTTATGTGCCGTTTTCGCTCGTGGTCAGTGAAACAGCGAGATTACGGTCGAGGAGTCCAACGTGTGCCCACCCGTCTTTGTCACAAGCCAACTGTCCTTCGGCCATGTTCGATTACGTCGACTCGAGCCAAGTCGCTCGTGGTCGGAAGCGCAATCCGTACCGGTATGCTAAGAGTATATTGACCACCGCTTTCCGACATGTAGCCATGATCGTCACTTCAACGTGTGCCACCGATAAGTAGTCAGCCATCTTCAGCCACCGAACGTTGTGTTAATGCATCACAGTGACGAAACCAAAACGCACACGCAGCTCGTCACACCCGGCCGTCTTATAATGCACGTTCTCTCTTATTGAACTTTTGTTTTGTACGTACTCATCATGTTGCACATGAGGGCATTGTCGATAGTGTGAGCTATTCGCCACTTTGCGAGCTCTCCCAAAGAATACGACAACAGTGTCGATTGTGCTGAACGAAGAAGAGCATCGCCATGTGTGAACTGACACTTTGTCGATGGCATAGCTGCAGCAGCTTCAGCTATAGAAGTAAAAAAAATACTCGACGAGCGATGTGTTTGCACATCATTAACGTATTTTGCTTAAAGAAGTGATCGATGCAATGCAAGATGATGCGAGATGGGTGCAAGGAAAGCTAGTCGAGTCTCCTCAAAGCTTATGACGCTTCACGAAACCCACTAGTGACCACCAAAATTCTATCGACGTTACGTCGTACATGTTGCCTGTTGTATAGCTGCAAACGTTACCAGCCAATATGAAAAATGTTGAGGGAGCTCCGAAGAAATGACGGTCTCGCTCCTTCAATGTTGCGAGTATTCAGGTTCTGAACTTCTCTCTTGGCAGTGGCAATGTCGCATGCCTCCTCAAGTTGACATAAAGAAGTACAGACCTCCAACAGATACGGCCATTAGCACCATGTCGACGCCATCACGAGTCAGTGTCAAGATTGTCGAATGTCAGGCTGGTGGGATGCCACAATAGCGCAGTGCCAACATATTTAGCTCCTTCGTTCGGTCGTCCATATCGGTGCAATCACTACGTTGCTGGGAACGAAGTAAGTAGCGACTTCGGACGGGACGCTCTGACAGTGAGGTCAGATGCCGTCAATAGAGCTGTCGTTTCTTAGGATGATGTCTCGTAGCTTGACTGAACGCGATGCCCAAACAGTAGTAGCTCTACAGTCCCGTTGCAGGCACCTGAGGGAGTCCATTGTCCAATTTTCTGTCGCCGAAACCGATTTCTGAAACCGGAAAACCATTCGTCGGTTGTCTATCCACCTGCTACCTCCACACCAGAAAGTTCTCGAGTGTTGGTTCGCACTGGATCGCCTTTCATCACGCACTCGATGACGTCGATTGAATTTCGCGAGACGAGAGATGCCCACGGCAGTGATGTGTAGTAGACGTGTAAAGATAGATAGATAGATAGATAGATAGATAGATAGATAGATAGATAGATAGATAGATAGATAGCTGGATCGATAGATGGGTCGATCGATAGATATATCTGACGTTTGATCCCATATCGCTTGTCGGTGCGCATCGGCAATGCTACCACTAATGAACTCAGATGCCGTAGCGAAAGCAAGGTGGTGCTTCGCCCTCTTCACACGCAATTTGAGGATCGATCGCATGTAGGGAAACGGCAAGCAGACCGACGAGATTACCCGTGGCACCCTCATCCTAGAACTCAAGCCGCAGGTTTAGCACAACCATTCCGTGTATCCGAACGTACAACGACCTGCGTCGATTGTTTTGACACTGGATGTCAGTCTCTCGAAGGACATGTACACACATATAAATGCTCTTGCGTGACCACGTTTCTTGACCAGTCGACTTGGATGCCAATCTATCTATCTGTCGAGCGATCATCACCGCAGGCGCTCCGACTCTTCTCTGCAGTGCTGATCGCTCTACAATCTGACACTGAAGACAATCTCGGTGGTGTGAGAAGTGACATGTGACCGTAGAAGATGATCAGTGTGCAGTCAACTGATCAAGCAAAGAGACGAGAGACGTTTGCCTTCCGTCTTATACATGCGGCCATCGGCCAACGTCATTCCTGAGTACATGTGCTCTCTCTTAAAACTTGCGCCAGCCAACCTGCCAGTCCCCACGACCACTGCTTCGTATGTGTGTCCGTCAGACTCCCCCACTTGCGTGAAAGCGATGGACAAACGGTTGCCAGACTGGTCGATCGATACGTCGAGCACCATGTCAGCAAGTAAACGTGCGGTAACCGAACACCTAAATCAAATACGGATAACTACGGAGTCGTTCCCAGATTCCAAGTAAGACGGGGCCACGCATCCGAAATGAGCAACACAGGCACAGGATGAGATCGCAAGCGACGATCGAACATCACACGTCCGCTCCTGCTCCATCCCACGCGTCGTTGTTTCGGCTGATGTGTCGCCAATGCTCAGATACCGATAGTGGGTGGATAGCAGTGCGTGGCGGCAAGAAACAGCCAGCAAATGGCCATCGATGATAGCAAGACGCTCGATCCAAGATCGCGCCAAAATTGTGTCGACAATGGGGTCAAGTGATGAGCAGAAGCGGCCGCTCGATAGACGACAAGAAACGAGACCTACGCCAGTTGCCCATCGGTCAAAACGTGGTGCTGATCGAGCGGCGCCGACAGTTCGCTATCCTTGTAAAACGATTCGATAAGGTCACCATTTGACGGCTGAAACGGCATCAGCAGCAGGCACGAGAAAAATAGGATAAGGAGTGCTAACGTACGTTAAAGCGTCGCGAAAAGGGCTCAGTGAACAATGTCAGGGAAGTCGAGCCGTTAAGTGAAGATGCGGGATCCCATCGCCCGCCACATGCGCTCGAGATCTCTTATGAGTGTTCGCACCTATGCACCTACCAATGCCGCATCCTCTAAAGCCAACGGATCGAATTTCGTCTGGTGGGATATGTCGTGATCACAAAAGTTCGTCCGACTTCTTCCCTACAATCGTCGCACGCACGAAACGGAAGGCGATTGCGACTCCATCAGCGTCCAACTTGTCCACATCCTTTGAACATGACAGCCTGGAGGCAATGCACAGCAAACGTGGGGCAGACGTCTCCATCGACTGACACACTGCATCGATCAAAAAGGTCGGAACAGATGACAAGCGGTCAATACTGTCAACAACCGCATGCATAAGAAAGTCAAATGTCTTGTCGACGACAGCAGCTGCCAGTGATGGCATTGCGGTTAACCCAGAAAAGCACATCGATCCGGCGGATGAGATCAGACGTTTCCGCAGCGTTTTTTTCTTCGTCAGTAGCTCCAGCGCTTATGCGACTATGGACATGTCACACTCTCTACCCCCCACATGCATAAACCTGGAGGCATTATTGACTGCGTGAGCGAGAAAGGGATTGACGGACAGTGACGATGTTGACGCCCGTCCATGCGATGGGACAAGCGACGCATAAGACGTATCCCGCAACTCGTCTCTTGTTAGGAGGACCCTAAGCGTGGAAAACGGTCATGTTAAGCAAATTAGTGCGAGTCGAGCACGACGGCCATTTGTCAGTCACTTGTGCGCCACTCCTTTCCACACTCTTAACAGCTTCCAGAAACAAAACCCTCGGAAACCACACGCAAAGGAGAAACTGCCTGCAGATGTACGTGTAAATATATAAATACATACCCCTCCTTCGACTCACGTGTGCGTGCTCTTCACGTGCGCCACCGCCATCGTTCATTGACAAGCAAAAGGCCGTCGTTCTCTTCATTCCTTGTTTCGCCATCGAGCCGTGACACCAGCAGCTCCTGCCCTTTGCAAGAGAAAACCAAACAGGTCAATGTACCATTCGGATAGTTCCAGCCTGACTTCGAGAGACCGTATTGAAATCCCAATGGCCTCGCAACTTCTGCCCCCCTCGTGCGAGTCGGTCATGGACTCGACAGACTACCACATGCCGCTCTACTCGCCTCGCCACCAGCCTCTCCTTTACTCGGACCACCAGTATAACCCGCTCTTGCCTACGGGAATCCCTCCTCGAGGACACGCTCCGAAACTTCCCGGCGTCGCGACGCTACTCCGACGCCACGACACTGCGCAGGCCATCCACGCAGCATCTCCTTCGGCGGTCCCTCCAATGAACTACGACTTGCAGCGTTCTCGGATCGAGACAAAGGACAGTTGTGTCCCATCCGAGTGTTGGACACCTCCACACTTGGTCGGACGGGCTCAATCCATCACGTCCCCTGCTTTCAAGTGGGTCCCCCTAACGGCTTCGCTGAACCCCTTAATCTATGACCATCCAATGGACGACCGAACCTGCCAAAGCGACAAGTTCGTCTCGACCCCAACTTTGCCTTTGACTACTACAACTGCTGCTACGCGTACAAGTACCGAAAAGAGTCACGTAAACGATATGGACGCGTTACTACTATCGTCGGACATTCGGTCCCCTGAACCCGCTCGACCGTATCGTGACTTGCAGCCAAAGAGCTCGCGCTATCTCCGCGAGATCGACCGCCGCCGTATTCTATTGCGCATCGCACAGGGCGAAAAGCAGTCGGCACTGGCAAAAGAGTACCACGTCAGCCGAGCGGCGATTTGTAACCTCAATAAACACCGCGCGGAAGTGCTCTCGCGGAAATACGAACATCCGCTTGCGAAGCACCCGAAGCGACGAATGGCGACAAAAGTGCAAGTGCGCGACACAGGAGACGACAGTCAGTGGCGGGACGCGAGCAGTCGATAGGAATGAGTGTGTCTATACTTTTGGTGGACGAGAGAGCGAACGACGTTGTTGCGTCGGACAGGAGGAGTAATAATATACGTGACAATGGGAATACGTTGCGAGGCACGTTTTGGTTTGTATGGGCGATAGACGCTGTAGTACGACTGCATGATTTGGTCGTTTTTGACGTTAATGGCATCGCGTAAGCGCTCACTTGACGGGGTACTCAATACCGAACTTGTTTTGCAGATAGGACGATGGAATCAGATGCTGCAAATGATCTCTTTCGTTCTCTTTATCGCCTGCTGACGCTAACTGAATTCGAAGTTTACGACGAGTTTTCTGATAGAGTTTCGTGTCACTTGGCATCTGCTGATTGGTAACTAACTGTCTCGGCAAATGGTACGACACTGCTCATTTTCTTGTCGGGCTTTGGCTGACATTGTCGTCAGGACGTAATGGCCGCCCCCGAGTCGTCTACATCGAACTGACAGGTGAGAGGTCTGAGAGCGAAAGACCTCACTCACTCACTCACTCCACACTACATGTTACAAGTACCCGATTTGGTCTGATCAGATTTAGTCAATGACTAAGTTGGGGTGTATCAAAAAAGAAATGAACAAACGAACGCGCCATAAAAAGCGTATTACAGGTCACTGGAATGGGGAAAAAGCCTCGTGACCGACCCCTCAGTCCTTCTCAGCATCACCCCTCTCATCTGACCCGATACGCCCACTCTCCCTTATGCTTTACGAGCCGCAGGCACACGGATCTGTACGCGAACCGCATGTTGTCCCATCATGCTAATGACCGACTGCTTGTTCTGCTCAAACTCGGTCCTGCAACCCAACACGTTAGCCTTTCTCGATATGACACACACACACACATCATAACAACCGCAACATACTGCATCTTTGTGATGGCACGCGCCGTCTCCTCCTCCAGAATACTCGGGTCGTCTCCCATCAGCTATCAAGTCATGCAATATAACAGGTCAGAACAAAACACACACAAACACATAACGACCCGATTCGTGCAGTCCGTCAGATCCAGCGTTTCCTTTCCCTTCTCTCTCCCGCAACATTCTGTGATCTCCTGTTGTTTCCCTTACATCATTGTTGCTGCTCATTTGGAACGACTGTTCCATTTGAGTACGGTATGCCGCGATCTCAGCTTCCGCCTCGAGTTTCGCTTGTTTCAGTCGTTCGCCACGTTCTACAGAAATGGTCCGATATAAAGCTTAGCAACGAGCACTTTCCACTATTGCTACCGCTAAAAAGCAATACATCAGTACACGTCAGACCTTGACGAGCCTCACTGATGATCTTGGACGCCTTGGTCTCGGCCGCCAGGAGCTCCTTGATGCTCTGGTTTGCCGCCATATCTTCTCGACGGTCGTTCGTCTTTCGTCTTTGGGCAGGACAAAAAGCCGACCACACTTACATTCCATCCAATCACTTTCGAGGCTCTCGGCTATCTACGAATCACGTAGCAGTATGTGCAAAACCGCTCGACACGATCAAACACAATTCCAATACAACTTTTCGTCAAGAATGACAAGAAAAGCAGAACCGATCGAACAAAGCAGAATCAGTCAAACAAAAGCAGAATCGGTCGAAAATCGAAACTTCCTTCGCTTCACTTCAACTTGCTCGTTTCTGATGACTACTGTTGTGGTTGCCTTTTTCTATAGCAACGCAAGCACAAGTCGCTCACTCTATAGGCAAATACGGATCGTCTGCATCGGTGCTTTCCCATTGCAAAAGCAGCATAATGTCGTTCTTGACGTCGACAATGCGGGCCTCGAGCTCCTCGAGCTCTGCGGGGTCAAACTTTCGCTCTTTGCTCAGCATGTGCACGCGCTCGGCATACCGTTTCTGCCAAATATTGCTATAGGTTGGATCCTACAAAGCACGACCACCGCCACGACCACCGCCACCGCCACCAACAGCAACCGCAACAACAACACAAAAAACACAGGAAATCGATCGTTGACAATGGCCACAAAAGCAAAATCGGACCATAGTAAAAACAGGTCGTGCAGCAACACGCACCTTCTTTGTAATGGTCGAATAGAACGAGTTGCCCAACACGGCCGTAAACCCGATAAAGTACGTGATCGGCTCCATCACGTCCCACGAATACACGTCCCACACACAGTACATGAGTGTGCCATAAAATCCAGTGAGCCCCGTGAGTCCCACCCACTTCTGTGCATTCGGCATGCGACGCGCGGCCACGTGCACTTCCCTCTCCATCTGCTGCAAGTTCGCTAGTGAAGCCATACACGTCGCCAGTTCGCGCTCTTTCGCACGTCGATAGTGCTTCGTATTGTACATCTCCGAGTCCAGTGCGTTCTTCAGCGTCAATAGACTCTCTAAACTCTGCACCATCAATACGTAACATATCAGTCTCACACATCCCATTGTTCGACATTGTCGAGACTATAACCAGCTGACGACAGGAGCTCAGCTGGTCGTTCGACGCGCAAAACGTACATACGGTCGAAGAATCAGTGCATTTTCCAGCTGCGGGTTCCGCGATCGGTCAAAATGCACCACGACATTCCGACGTTGCAGTTCTTGTAGCCATTTGGCTGCTACCACTTTTTCGGCCCCCGCGTTGTGACAGAGTCGGTAAAAGTCAGCCAGCGGCATCTAGCAGAAAGGACAGACACAAAAAAGGCACAAACAAATGCCCACACACGCAGCGTCAAGTCCACGCCCGACCCCTAGTCACAGCATACTGCTAACACGAACAAGAAGGCGCCGATCTTTCTCAAGTGCCGCTTTAACGCTGGCAAACGCCGTGTCTTCTTCCCTCAGACGGACGTCGTCCATCTCGGCCCGATCGCTCTCCACCAGCACATTCACGTGGTTCAGGCGCAGACAAAACGGCATGGACGTAAGAGCCCCTACCCCCACACTACGCGCGACTTTCGTGCCATCAAGCGTCGCGACTTCAACATCCCGAAGCGACGAATCGGCGTGTCGCACGGCCGCAATTAGGTCCTCGACACTGGCTCTCGAGTGGTCGTCAAGAGCCAATCGCGTGAGACCATTGCGCCCCGGCAGCGGCAACAGAATATCCACTTGGCCCGAGACTTTTGCCGTGTTGCGTACACAAAGTTGGGGCAGCGTCGAGTCCAGATGGGGGCGCTTGGCCGCGCGAGCCAGTAGCGACGTTGGACCCGAGTGGAAAGCCGAGACCGAGCACCGCACGTATGACGCGCGCTGGAGCAAGGACCGGAGAGGCCGCAACGCCATGGCGTAGAGAGGCAGTGCGTCAGCGGAGCGACAATGACTGTTGCGGTATGGGTACACGCGTTTCTTTTATCCGGATAATTGTCGTAGGGGTATGGTCGTGCATACCGGTATGCCCTTCCTGTTCGAGCCAGGTCGGACCGTGTCGGTGGTAAGTCGCGCGTTTCGTGCTGAACCGATGCAAGTGTCTTGGATTGTTTGCAGCATAATCAACCGGTAAGCGCAGATAAGCAAGTGGTCGACATTACCGATACGTTGTTGCACGCCGCGTCCCGCACTGGCCATTGCTGACGTCAATAAGCGATCGACGGATGTTAGACTGCACTTATTCTTGACGGCGATCACTGACTACCGCTGACAAAAAGTGCTCACAGCCAAGACAATCTCGCAATAAACGTCTACACCAGAACAAGCGACACCAACGGTCAGTCATTCGTCAATAATGACTGCATCAAGTCTCGGAGGCCACAGTCACTCGACACACAAGTTCACTGCAACATGTCGACAATATCGCACCGTCGCCATTCACTGCGCTACGTCTCTCTCTAATTAACTATAACAACACGAGCAAAACTACTGCCGCGAGGTCGACCCCACCCCACCCCACCCCACCTCCTGCCTACAGTACCCACAGCTCACACGATCGGCTTCGTGCCCCCTCACACGTCATCATACAAAAACGCACGTACTACTCCATAGCCGCCCACCCATCTCATAGATCTTGAGAAGACAGTCGATTCCGACGTGACGACGACGGCGGCGGCGTGGCCGACGTCTTGACCGACGCGTTCTTCCGCGCACTACGCACTCGTTCGCGGTCACTTGCACCGTCTCCACTCCGCTCGCTCTTTGGGCGCTCGCGTCGCGACTCGATCCGTCGCAGTGTCCCATCACTTTCCTCACGTTTAACACCACTGAACTCGTCCTGTCGACGCGACGAGGGCTTTGGCGGCTCGAGATGGATCGCCTCGTGCGCGTAGTTGCCCTGTCGCGCCGACATGAGCCGCGGCGGCTTTTCCACCGACGCAAGTGCATTCGTCCGTCCAGAGGTAGTTATAGTTGAAGTTATAGTTGAAGTTGCAGTTGTTGCAGTAGCTGCTCGTCGACTCGGTGCACGGACACCCACCGCGGACGGGTCAAAGTCCGTCCGTCGTCGACTGCTCCGGTCATCTGCCCCTCTTATTGCCGTCTCAATGATCGGGCGCTGCTGCTGCATCGCTCCTGCAGTCGGTACGTTGCAGTAGTCGCCTGCCGTCGGACAGAGCGGAACGGGCACTGGCGTAAACGCTTCGCCGTTCGCGCGCAGCTTTTGGTCGCGCCGACTGAGTCCCTTGTGCCCAAACAGTGCACCTGTTGCACCCGTCCGTGGCATTGCGGTGGCCCCCCGCGCGGCCGCTGTCTTCAACGACCGATGGGCGCAGCGGGTCACGTGCGTCCGCCAGGCCGCAGCAATGACCAAAAGCACGACGAGCGTCGAGACGATAATGGCGCCAATGACCATCCACGGCTGCCAAAAGGCCCCGTGGGTGGGGTCGAGGAACGTGACGGACGTGGCGGACGGCGTGGACGACGCCACGATGGAGAACTTCTGACCCGTAGTCGTGGCGTTCGCGCCGGCTTTGACGCTGTAGCCACTGACGACGGCCTGGACGTAGATCGAGCCGTCGGGGTCGACGTCCATGCCGGCGGCCGTGACGGCCGCGAACACAGCGTCGTACGAGACTTCGACCATCTCGACGTTGTTCACGGCGTCGCGCGAGCCGTTGCCCGAGAGCGGGTCGAACCGCGTGGACGTGTTGGCGACCTTCAGCGTCAGGTCGAGGTCGTTCTGCAGCGTGGCTTTGCTGCCGACCGAGCCCGGCGGGTCGGTCCACACGAGCGTCACGCGGAGGTTCACGCCCGTCGTCAGCATGAAGTGGAACGTCACTTCGCTGCCCTCGAGCACACTCGGCTCGGACCCCGTCGACGAGTTGGGGAAGAAGTAGATGGAGTTGCTGCTCGTCGTGCCCGAAGACGGCGGAGACGAAGCCGAAGACGACGACGAAGACGACGTCGAAGCTGCTGACGTGTCGTCCTGGCCGAGGAACGACACGAGGTTGAGCAGCGTGGGCTTGCCGTAGCCCTGGTTAAAGTCCGGGTACGCCGGCAGCGCCATGGCGCCTGCTTCCAGCGCAACGCACGACGTGACGTCGGCCGTCGGTTCAATCAGCCGCCGGGCCATCGCTTCGCTGCTGTGCAGCAGCAGCGCTTTGAGCAGCGACGCCGGGATCGTCTTCATGCCAAAGGCCGCGTCCTTGACGCCGTTCTTCCACCAGCCGTCGCGCAGCCACTCGTAGATGAGCACGGCCATGCCGGCGATCACGGGCGCGGCTTGCGACGTGCCCTGGAGCGGGCACACGGCCGACGACTTGAGCTTCTGGCCCGGCGGCTCCGACTGCGACGACGTCATGGACATGCCGGGGGCCACGAGGTCGGGCTTCAGTCGGCCGTCGAGCGTCGGCCCAATGGACGAGAACGACGCGACCGTGTGCTCGTTCAAGACGGACGCACACGGCGTGGCCGCGAACGACGCCGCGGCGTTGAGGCTCGCGCCCACGGAGATGACGTTCTTGGCGCCGGATGGACTGCTGATCGTGTGGCGGCCCTTCTCGCCGCTGTTGCCTGCGGCCACGACGATCAGGATCTCTGGGTGGTCGTAGATGTACTCGTCGACCTGTGCCGTCTGCGTGTTGTAGTCGTTCGCGCCCGTGCCCCACGAGAACGAGAAGATGCGCGCGCCCATGTCGACCTGTGCGTTCATGAGGTCCGCGACTTCGCCCGGCGTCTCGAGCGACACTTTGCACCCGTTCGTGCCCGCGCACGCGGCGTCCTGGTTGCCAATGTCCATGAACGCAATGCGCGCGCTCGGGGCGATGCCCATGTCCGCGTGCAAGTGGCTGTACGAGCTCCCGGCCAAGATCCCCGCCACGTGCGTGCCGTGGCCGCACGTCACGCCTTCGGCCTCGTCCACGTCGTTCGCAAACGTCTGGTAGTACAGCACCTTGCGCGCGCTCGGGTCCGCGCGGTCGTACATGGCGCGCGACGCCTGGTCGAACTGGTCGTGGTCAATGTACAGGCCCGTGTCCGTGATGCCCACGACGATATCGCTGCCCGTGATGTTGTGCGCGCGCATGACGTCCACGCCCATGACGTCCTGCGCGTAGTCGTCCAGCCGTCTCCGGCCCGTGCGTCCAGTCGCGGCCGCAAGTCCGGTCGCGTCCGGCAGCAGTCCGTGCACGGCACTGGTGGTCACGACCGGCCGCAGGTCGACCCACTCGACGGCTTCGTCGTCCAGCACGAGCGCCACGACCTGCGTCCACGTGGTGTAGTCGTCCAGCGCCGCCTGCAGCAACACGCCGCCCGTGTCGGCCGTCCCGCGCTGCCGCGTGATGACGTTCTCGATCCCCGTGGCCCGCGTCACGCGCGTCGCCAAGCGGCCGAGCGCACGGTCCGTCGCCGCACCTTTGGCCAAGCGGATCTCGAGCGCCGGCCCCTCGCGCGACTTGGCCGTGTCGCGCGACAGCGCGTACGAGCTCTTGGCGAACGGCATGAGCTTAAGAATCGGCGGCAATACCGTCACGCTCTCGACGCACGGCAGCGCGAGGATCGCGTCGCCGACCGCCGCACTCACGTGCACGAGCAGCACTGTGGCCGCCGCTGTGGTCTGGTCGCTCCGCGTCAAGAACGGCGTGTGGCTCTCGCTCGTCGCGGGCCAAATGGACTTGATCGCCTGCACGCACGCGAGCTCGTCGCGCGCCACGTGCAGCTTGATGAGCGACGGCTTGATCTCCATCACGTCGGCCGCGTCGACCAAGTCAGCCGTCGCGTACGTCGCGAGCAGCTCCTTCTGCAGGAACTGCAGCTGACACGCGTCGAACGTGGCGTTCGCGCCCGCGAGCATCGCGTCGTACGCTGTGGAGAACGCCGTGTAAAAGCCGGCGAACTCGTCTTGCTCGGGATCGCCGATGCTCAGCGTAATGTCCGTGACGCTCGCGCACGAGACGACGCTGATGATCGTCACGTTCTTACCGTCTTCCGTCGCTGCGTGCACGTCGGCGACCACAGCGGCTTCGTCCAGCGCCGACGAGCGGTCGTCAGTGGATCGCGGGAACGCTACGCTCGGCCGCAAGCGACGGCGAACAGCAGACGGCGGTGCAGTAGGAGCGCCGCGATCGTCAAAGTACGCGGGACAGACGGCCTCGAGGCATTCAGACTGCGCGCGCAAGTGGCGATACACCTGATGGACGTGCGCGCGGCTGCAGTGGTAGGCGCAGAACGCGTCGCGCGAGACAAACTGCAGCCCGCGCGCGTCGACGAGCGCTTTTGCGTTCGCACTGGAGAGCAACGGGACGCTCAGCAGAGCGGCGCCGACGACTGCTGCGACGAGCGAGCGGCGCGTTCCGCCCATGGACCAGCGGCGGCAATAACAATAATTGTAGTGGTGACGACGGAGACAATGGACACGACGGCGACGATACGCACGACGGAGACAACGGAGACACTGAGGAGGAGATGGACGATGAAGATGACGATGAGGAGGCGGAGGCGGAGGAGGACAGTGTCGGAACGCTCACTCACTCACTCACTCGTTCGTTCGCTCGGGTGCGAAAGTCTCAGTTCATGACGGACGTTACGCCACGACGACGAGACACTCGGAACGCACTCTGCCGGGCCGTTGCCAGCTGGGGCGACATGGCCCGGCTCTGGGCGCGCCACGAGTGCCGAGGTGATGGGATGTCTTGGCTCTGTGCGCAGCATGTCGTTGGTATGGTTGGGGTTACTGTGAGAACAAATCGAGGCGCGGGACGGGTGGACATAGACACGTGCCGCGCAATGATCCTGTGAGCCTTTATATGCGGACAGGGGCCCGTGGCCAGGGAACAAGTCAGTGCTGCGGCTATTCGGCTGGCGAGCGCGGCCAAAAGTATATTTTTCTTCGTCTTTTTTGCTGCTTCTATTTTCGTCATCTGTTCTCTCGGATATCCGACGATCAATTCTATCGAACACAACCTTTTCAGTGCTGTCAAAACTGCAGCAGGCGCAGGTTTCGCAGACGGCATCCGCTCATACCGATGCAACGTCCACACCAGATCGTGTGTCGATTACGCCGACGACAAAAACGCAAGATCGTCGACGCAGGCTCTGCGACCTGCTATATCTCGAGCAAACTAAAGCTGGATATTTCAGTGCGTTTCTATTTTCTTTCATGCTTTTTGAAGTCTCGCGCAAGCCCTACCGCAGCGATAAGACCGCGAGCGCTGTCAAGTGGCATCTGTTTTGCGCGTTTGGATGAGGAGTTGTGCATGGCGTCGGACGGGGAATTGGGTGCACTTGCGTTTCTTCTTTTGGTCCACGCTGATGAAAAGACGCTTAAACGGAGGCGGAAATGGGTCGATCCGGGACTCCCCATTGTATTTGGTAGACCGTGACGAGTAGCCAATCAATGGCGCTCACGGCTGACCTAATCGTGCCTCGTCTGCATCAGAAGTGGCGCACGCGACGTCCATTAGCCAATGAGGAGGACTGTCTGCCTGCCATATGGCAACTAGGAAGCTCTCGGCACTGCCGCAGCAATAAATGCATCGCCGACCGCTTTCGTCTGCGAAAGGCTCGGTGGGGTTTCAGGCTGACACAAAAAATGCTTTGTTTATTACACGCTGTGGACAGCGCGATTGGCGCGAGATCGTGCCATCATCAACCGCACTTGCGCGGGCTGTCGCCGATTGATGGATTGCGCCACGCAGACGCAAGAGGTAGTGTTATCGCCCCGATTCCGACGTGGCCAGTCGATCGGATATTATCCTCTTATGTAGCAACCTACTGCATGGCCCCCCCCCCCCCAAATATACCTATCTGCACCCAAAAAAGAGGTACGGTAGCCCAAAACGCGGCAGCCCCACCCCCGGTCCCCCCTGCGCGACCCAAATATCCCCCGTCCGCCGCCTTCACCCGCTACGTAACCTAAGTGCGCCTCTCCGTCCCTAAGTGCGTCCACTTCCACCCCCACCCCCTCCACCCATTTCCCCGCCATTTTTTCCCGACCGACCGACCGCCCAATATCCGGCAACTATACCATCATGCACCGACTTCTCCTCGCCCCCCCGCGACGCGCCGTGTGTCCCCCCGTCGCGTTCCGTCGCCCTCGTACGGCATCCACCACCACCGCCTGCGTCTCGTCTCTCTCATCCCGTGCCAACGACTCTACCAGTGCGTCTGTAGCCTCCACGCAACGCCCACACGTGCAGCTCAGTCTCACGCCCGCCGAAGACGCTCTGTTTTCGTTTCTCGAGTACATTCAGCGCCGGTATACGCCTGCGACGCAGCTGCGCGTGGCTGGCGGGTGGGTCCGCGACAAACTCCGCGGCGCCGCGAGCGCAGACATTGACATTGCGCTCACGGACATCAAAGGCACGACGTTTGCACAGCATATCTTGAGCTTCCAGCGCGCTCGGAAGCTGCGCGTGAGCCCTATTGGCATTGTCAAGGCGAACTCGGAAAAGGCCAAGCACTTGGAGGTGGCGAGCGTGACGATTGACGACACGACGGTGGACTTTGTGCACCTCCGAGCTGAAGCCTATGCCGAGACGAGTCGCGTGCCGCTCGTGACGTTCGCTACACCCGCTGCAGACGCGTGTCGAAGGGACTTGACGATCAACGCGCTGTTTTACAACCTCCATACGCGCGAGGTGGAGGACTTTACGGGCCAAGGCGTGCCGGACTTGCTGGAGCACCGGATCATTCGGACGCCCAACGACCCCGTGCAGACGTTTCTCGACGATCCACTGCGTGTGTTGAGGGCCCTGCGATTTGCCTGTGACTTTGGCTTTGCACTGGATACGGCACTGGAAAAGGCGGTGCTGGAGCAGCGAGAGATTGTTGCGGCCATGCGACGCAAAGTCAGCCGCGAACGCATTGGCATCGAAGTGCGCAAGATGCTCTCGGGCAAAGACCCGGCGCGGGGATTCGATCTGCTGCGCCAGTTTGAGCTGCTCGAGCTCGTGTTTAGCGGCGGAGTCGGTGCAATGAACGAGCGACTACCTGTCGATGGAAATGCAGGGAACAAAGACGACGAGCGCAAGTTTTTGCCTCGCCAGTGGACCGCGTCGATGAAAGATCGGGCGTCGCATTACCTTTCGTACTTGCAGCACAGTCGCTTGGCGCTGGCCAACTGCGAGATCTCCAACGTCGAGTCTACTGCTGCCATTTTGACGCCACTTTTCGTGCCCGAACTGCCCCGCGTTGATCTTGATACCTGCTGGAAGAAAGACGTACCTCTGCACGACGAGTTGCGTGGCACCACCGAGCAGGACATTGTAGAGAGCTCGCTCGAGTTTCTCGATCGCAGGGACGCGATTGCTTCGACAATTGACTTTACCGAAATTGTAGAGATGCTAAAAGTGCAAGTAAAGTGGCCAAAGCCAGCAGGAAAGCGTGTGGCTTTGATCGTTGAAGCGGTGGCGACGTATCCGACACGTGAGTTGCCAGTCGCATCGTTCCAAGCAGATCATGAGACCCGTGACTGCTTGGATAGTGCAAGACTGAAGCACTGTGTTCAGCAGTTCATGTGGATGACGCAGTATCACTCGGTGATTGCACCTGCACTGACAATCTTAGCATCGGATTGCAGCTATGATAAGCAGGATAAGGAAACAGCGAGTCTCGACGAGCAGCAGCAATCAGCGCTGAAGACGTATCTTGAGATGGCGAATTCGTATGCTCAGAGTGGGGGACAAGTGGACAAATCGAGTCAATGTCGACGGATTGATGGCAAGACTGTGCAAGTCCGACTTGGACGAGGCGCTAAGCGTGGAATCGCACAAGCTCTTCGGGTTTTGCACGTATGGGAAAAGGTACATCCGAGTGCAAGTCTTGACGACGAGTTGGCGTTTCTCGATCGGTTAGCGCCTTTGCTGTGCGCTTGACCGGCCGAAGCACTTTGCGATAAGTCCGAGCCAAAGTAGGTGATGACCCGACCGTTGCAAGTGGTTTATATTGTGTATGGTCGAGTTATGTGGTGCGTTGGTCGCACCACGATCGATGGATGTCGTGGCAACAGATCGAAGATAACGATTACCCATTCTAACGTAAGCAGTATCTGGAAAGTCGAGAAGGCCGTACGATATGTACCAGATTCTGGTGGAAAGGACGCGGCGATTCTCGGCCGGAGTGTCCATGACGCGGTCAGTCGCGTAGGCATCGCCGGAAGAAGTAAAACAAGCAACGTTGTGCGGTGGCGGCAAGCTCGGAATGGAAAGCATTGGTCCGAAATTGCGTGTCTCGTGAGAAGATGACCATGCAAGCCTCGTTTCCGATACTGAAGTCCATTCCGGAATTCACGCTGCATTATAAGTATCCGTTGACACTGGATCTAGCTCGCAAGTCGTGTATTGGGGCCCGTTTGTTGCATGTTGCCTGTGTCGGCACGTAACACATGCATGTCCCGATTGGTTTTCCGTTATCATTGAGCACTGATAGTTATCATTGAGCAGCGTTGATGGTGAAAAACATGGCCTGGTGCGAGTGAGTATGCGGTGAGTGCCAAGTGATGTGCTTGCGTCTAGTTGCTCGAGGTCGGTGGATCAACGAACGAGGATCCGAGTCTTACCAAGTTTTTGACTTGCGCCACGCGCATTAAGTTCGCTACAAAAAGCTACAGTCTGCCACTGTCCACAGAAGTTTTCGATGAGCCCGTAACGAACCGAATGGTGAAGAAGGACATGCTAGAGTCTTTCTTGTGGGCGAGTTAAGGGATCTCGCGTGCCACTCAGCGTCTTTTTTGGCTTGCGTCGGTGCATACCCTACGAATGACGGCGAACGTTGGAATGCATAGTTTGCAGTGGTAATGATGATAGTGAAGGTGGGGAGACTGGCCGTCGATGTATTTGTCGTATTAGCTGGCAGCGTATCGCTCTCATGGTAATAAGTGCAGCATGTTGTAATCGGTAGTACTCGGTAATCCTGTTGACGGTACCGCACAACACACACGGATTGCAATACAAAAGAGAGCAGACGCTAACAGATCCTGTGAATGATGGCACTTACAATGTGGTACAGTATCCGACTGGAAACGAAAAGAGCAGAGTAAGCTACACGATTTGTTTCTAGATGACGAGGAATGGCAGCAGTGCGATCAGCTTTGCTGACGCTATTGTGTCCAGCAATTGTACGTCAGAACACTTGCTGGACGCCTATTGTAAAAACCATCGATTTGTTGTGGATCAGCTCGAGCAGGTGGCTACACAAAAGACCAACGCTCTAGCTGTCCGTCAAAAGTAAATCGCAAAAGCAAAGTCTCTCGAAGCAACGATGTCAGCATACTCACATCCGAAAACCTTTGGTACTAAGCACATACTTCCACTTTCTCGTCGATGGCAAACCCCTTGTCGAAGTCCATGGCAGACACCCTCTCGTTGTATACAAACATGTCCCTACTTTATACGCTTTTGTCGTAAATGACCAGGCAAAGCCGTGACATATTCGATGTACACTTCATCTGCTATAGGCTGTAGTATGGTCGTGTGTGTTACGCGTCGCTTCGTCATGAATATCAGTAGCTGCAACAGAGCTTACGAAGCCGCTAATAATGATCTCTCAACGCTACATTGCCACATTACTTACTGTATGGGCTTGCTGACTTGATGCACGTACGCATACATTATAGCTTGCAACGCCTCGCGTAAGTACAGTATAACTCGCATCCTTTGAGTGACCACAGTATTGACCTTATACTTCACGTTCTAGAGATAACAAATATACATGCTGTGGTGAAATTGGTAAGCACGTGACACCTATAGCAGATATGATACAACAAGTACGACGAGATCACATTCCCTTCGAATCGCTGGACCCGGTGATTAGTATACCGTTGTATTTGGTAAGGCGATTCCTTTTTGGCTCGAAAAAGTACTAATGTTAATCAGGCTTAGAGGAGTTGGAGACCTGCATGCACAAACTTCGTGCGATTTTTGTTCCGTCGACACCATCGTCGTCCATTTTTTCGAGCCCATATTGTACTCAGGAAACACACGCACGAACTCTAAGAGCTCGAACTTCACGTCTCTACTTTGGCACGTCTAGTGCCAAGAATACAATCGGATCCTCACTACGTCATGGCGATGACGAGCGATGAGCGACGACGCTTAGTTGTCCTGTCAGAGAAAACGTCCTGTATTTTATTCCCCTTGTCGAATTGCATGAAGAATCTTGGTAGTTGTCGCGTCTGTTAATGCTTCATATTGACACACATCCGACTAGTAGATCATTTAACGTACGTGCTACGTCACTAACATCGCAGACAAAGCTGTAAGCCTATATTTGAAACACATCGACCACCGACTTGCTATCGCTCACGTGGATGATATCGCGATTATTTGCCCACGTGAAGCAAAAGATGGAGAGGGTGAATGATGGTTTCCGTCCGTCATTTTACGCGTCTCTTCTTCGATATGCCTACATCCCTTTCTGCATCCGTATCCATACACCACTTTGAAGCAGTAGAAACTTACACGCGTCGTACTGAGTTCTCTCTCGCACAACAACTTCTTTTCCAGTACCTTCACACTGCTGCTCAGCTCTAACTGTTCCGTCTTAAAACGTGCGACGAATGAGATTGGTGTCACGCATAACAAGCGCCCAGCTTTGTGACCACGAAAGTAAGTACTATCAAACGCTCGCTTTATCGAGCGCTCCGGTCTTGCCTCGAAATCGTCAGGACGATACCATCCTGATGTACTGTACTCAAATTGCATCTACAACGTAGCGCTTTCTACCGTCATCGCTCTCTACATGCCTCATCTACCACAATTCCAAGCTTGTTGACATCGGTAGACTTCAAAGAGACAGTATCGTGGACAGCGACCTCTTCTCGCAATGTAACAAACTTAGTGCAGGCGCTGCTACTTTACTCCTTTGTAGATTGGAATACTGCTGATAAGTACGCGTGTTGTTGCGGCTACAGTCAAAGGAAAACGAACGCTGAGGTTGGACATCAATAGACGGAACTTATGCAAGAGCTACGTAGACTCGACTGTTTCGCTTCATGAGTGAAATGCCTACGTAGGTAAAAGTATTGAGGCTGTAAGTTGGGCATGAAGAGACATGTAACGGATAAAAATACTACGGTAGCTTCCATCCGTTGGTCAAAGTGTTTAATATAGTATGTACCTACAATTTGCAAGGCTAATAAAGATTTGAAAGTCGTGGCGTTTAGCACAGCAAAGATGACGTCGTGCTCACGGTGAAGACTGATAGATATATACATATACGCATCCATTGACGCCAGCGTGCATCCAATCTACAGTAGCACAGTCCTCTCTCTTGGGTTGCTTTTCGTTTCGTCTGATGGACCAGTCAATGCGTTTTACCAAACCAAACAATGACACATCTACCATCGCGCGTAAAATTTTCACCCTTGATTCTATCACTTTGTGTAGACGATACTATCAATAAGCCCTGGTGCGTTAAGCTTTAGGTACCATTTATTTAGGCTGACATTGATATCCACTTCCGTGCCATAAGTTACGATCGAGAAACGTTTTGTAATCGTGATGCTTGTACGAATCGAATGAGTAGTTCCCTTATTTAATGAAACAAATGATGATACATCTACCATCGCGCATAATGTCGCTGCAATGTCGCCAAATAACGGGTATATCGAAGTCAAAGTAGTCCAAAACACTCGTGCTCGTAGACTTCGACTCAGCCTTCCGTACGAGAAAAGGGGTCCTAGCAGTGCTCAGTGTCGAGGGGGGGGTCAATTTTCCGTCATTTGCAAGGGTCAAGGAATGGATGGGCATGTGTATCAGTAAAAACTTCAACTTCGCCCTAGTCACACGAAATCGAGGACCGAGACAGCACAAACATCGATGGCGACAAGCCCATACAGTGAACGACGGAAATTCATCGTCCATCACGTTGAGATGAAATTGAGGGACAAAAGAAGACCAGTTGAATGTTGCAAGTGATATATCAATGTTAGGAGGAGAGCCTCGATAACACTTTACCAGATTGATTTCATTGATCTACGCAAACGACGCGATGACAAACACGCTTTCGAGTATATGGACAAACGAGATGGATGGAAGTGTAATCTCATCTCGCTACGTAGCTTTATTGATTGTGACAATTGAACTCATAAGCCATGCGTCAACGTTGTTGTAGCGGAGCTACACAGCTCCTTAAGTCAGGGGAAGACTTTAACGCTCTACGAGCAACTTTGGTTCCGAGAACTCGACTCAGAGAGTCTACAAGCTCAGAGAGCTTACTGTCCCTGTTCCAGGGGGACCAAACGATTCAAATGAATCACAGCAAAGAGTACTCAAGAGCAGCTACTTTTACAGGCGTTGCTAGCTCTCACCAATCAAAGACGCCTCGTAAGACACGTGCTTCTAGTGATCAAAATGGGAACTGAACTTTATTTCTTCTTTTAACCTAAAAGAACACCTCATAACAAGGTACTTAATCTAGTCACTACTGTCCTAGTTAGTACCTCTTAAAATATATCTTGATTCGGTTGCTGACACGCGTCAGCCCCCGACAATTGATATGGGGTTCAGTTATCCTTTTTAATGGGACTCCGTCCTTTGTGCACCACACATGTTATGTAACCCGTTACACACATGATATGTAACCCGTTACGCAAACATGTTGTGTAATTCCGTGACACCCCTTCCCACCAGACTGACGTTACCACGAAACGTCAATCGAATTCTTTCCTCGAAGAGGTCGGTCTGTGCACGCTTTAACCTCACGCTTTGCCAAAGCACGAAACACCATGGCATCTCCACCTAACGAGTCTCGGACTCTTTCCTCCTACCTCAACTTTGATGTGGATGTGGAATATGGTAGAAATACCAATGCCCATGAAGATGACGGGACAATGTACAACCCCTCTGTGTCTGATTTTCGACCTCTCAAAGCACCA